GGCACGCGGGCTCAGTAGTTGTGGCACACGGGCTTAGTTGCTCCATGGCATGTGGGATCTTCCCGGACCAGGGATCGAACCTGTGTCCCCTGCATTGGCAGGTGGATTCTTAACCACTACGCCACCAGGGAAGTCCCTATGATCCACTTCGAGTTAATTTTTGTGTGTCGTGTGAGGAAGGGGTCCAATTTTATTTTTTTGCATGTGGATACCCAGTTTTCCCAGCAGCATTTGTTGAAAAGACTGTCCTTTCCCCATTTAATTGTCTTAGTACCTTGTTAAAAATTTATTGACTATAAATGTAAGGATTTCTTTCTGGACTCTGACTTCTTTTCCATTGACCTATATGCCTATCCTTATGCCAGTACTGTACCACCTCTTACGATTTGGAGAAAGGGTGTGCCAGTAAAGGGCACAGCAAGTGCAAAGGCCCAGAGGCAGGAATGGGCCCTGAGTTTGTGGCTGGGCAGAGCGGAGTCAACACTCCCTTGTGAACCAAGACACCAAAGCCAATACCTTCCCCTCAGTTTTGGCCCAGCCAGGAACCTAGCCAGAAGGTCCTGCTCAGTTTCAATTCTCCATGCCCAGCAGCGACCTCAGGCAGGAGGAGAGGTGGGAGCAGCCAGACGGAAGAGGGAAATAACCTTTTTCTCATTTTTACTAGCTACTGGGTGTTGGCAGCCCCTCAGGGAACCATCAGTAGAGGATTGCTGAAATTCCAACTTCCAGGGGTTTGGGATGTGGTGGCAGTGCCTCCCAGGGTGTGACAGGCCCTAAAGCTCTTAGTCTCAAGAATAAGAGAGCTGAGGGCTTTGCACTTGTGGAGGGAGGTGGGAGGAGGTAGGATCCCAGGGACACAGGCTGGAGAAGCATGGAGTAGTGGTTAAAAACGTGGGCTCTGGACTTCAATTGCATGAGTTGGAATGTTGGCTCCACCCCTTAGCAATCTTCGACCTTGGACAAGTGACCTCGCCTCTGGGTCCACCTCAACTTCCTCATCTGTCACATGTATCAGGATATATTTTAGCTACAGTGACGGAGACCCGAAATAACAGTGACTTAACGTGTAATTTTATTTCTGTACAAGGCAGTCCAGGGTTTATGTTCTTCCACCCCTGGGTTCTCAGATGTTCACACCGTGTCCACGTTCCAGCCCAGGGAAAGGGGAGACAGGCAAGGAAAACGGAAGCTGCACACACCCCAGTGATCAGAACCTGTGTCCTGGTGGACGGGAATGTTGCCTTTATTCCGGGTGGCCTTGTGTCAGCTAAGAATCTGTTCTGTTGCTTTTGACCAGGGATCAGCAAGCTTTTCCTTTAAAGGACCAGGTAGTAAATATTACAGGCTTCACAGGCCGTATGGTCTCTGTCGCGACGATTCCACTCTGATGTTGTGGCTACAAAGAAGCGAGGACAGCGGGGAAATGACTGAGCATAAAGCTTCGTTTATTGCAACAGGTGGTGGGTTGGACTTGGTCTGCAGGCTTTCATTTGACCCCCTGCTTTTAGAAGGAGAGGTTGCTGGATCTGCTTTGGCGGGTTGAGCCTCTGTCACTGCTCACTCGGAGGAAACAGGGAGCTGGCTGGCTGCACTCCCCTTTTGTGCCTTGGCTGGCTTGACAGAAGTTCAGGTGCTCAAAATTACTTACATTGGAGCATGGGGCTGGGGGTGCTTTGGGGAGTTCAACTGAATTCCGCATCATAGGTCACAGGCTTCTATCGTAGTTTTATCTGTGGACATGTCTACAAGCAGGCCGTCAGCTCCAGGAGAGTTGGGGCAGTGTCAGTGTCATCTGTGTCCTCAACAGAGGGCCCAGCCTGAGGCCAGGTACACAGGAGGCCTCACTGGATGGATGAATGGGGCACAGAGCTTCCTGGTTCCAGCCTTGAGTATCTCTTGCCTGGACCATTGTAGTAGCCACTAGCCAGTCTTCCTGCTTTTACGTTCACTTTATGTTCCCTCCAGTGCATCTTCCACTTGGCAGTCAGAGGTGTTTTTTTTTTTTTTTTCCGGTACGCGGGCCTCTCACCGCTGTGGCCTCTCCCGCCTCAGAGCACAGGCTCCGGATGCGCAGGCCCAGCGGCCATGGCTCATGGGCCCAGCCGCTCCGTGGCACGTGGGATCCTCCTGGACCGGGGCACGAACCCGTGTCCCCTGCATCGGCAGGCGGACTCCCAACCACTGTGCCACCAGGGAAGCCCCTAGAGGGGTTTTTTAAAGGCTAAATAAATTGGATGGTGTTAGGCCTCAGCTTATAACCCCCCATCACCTCCCCATGGCTCGTGGGATGAAACCCAGAGACCACACCCAGGCCTTACCTGATCTGTGTTTGGTGTGTGCATCCGACCTCAGCACCCATCCTTCTCCTTGCTCACTCTGCTGCGGCTTCCCTGGCCTCCTTGCTGTTTCTCACTGCCTCAGGGCCTTTGCTTGTGCTCTTCTCTTGCCTGGAGTGCTGTTCCCACAGATGTTTGTATAGCCTGTGCCCTTACTTCATTCAGGTCTCCACCCTGAGGCCCTTCTCCTCAGAGAGACCTTCTCGGACCAGTGCACCTCCCTCACCCTCTGTCCCTTCACTTGCCTGATGTTTCACCTAGCACTTAATCAATAATATAAATTATATTTACCAGAGAGGAAAGTATTCCTATTTAACTATCTGAAAGGTTATAAATAGTATAGACGTTCAGAGCACTAACCTCAGAGCCAGGCTCAAGTCTGATCCGTGACCTCAGGCAGATGACCTGACCTCTCTGTGCCTCAGTTCTCAAATCTGTCAAGTGAGGATAATAATAACTACCTCATAGGGTTGATGTGAGGATTGAGTGAGCTCAAAAAGAGTAAGCACTCACGAAATGCTAACATTATTACTGTTAGTGGTAATACTCAACTTCTGGACTGTTCTCTTGACTGTGAGCTCCCTGAGGGCCGTCTCAGCCTCTGTCCAGACCCCGGTGCTCTGGCACGTACCTGTTGCTCAGTCTGTGTTGGTTGAGTGAGGAGTGAATGGAAATACGTCCCCTTTGTACAAAAAGCTCAACCCTCAGTGACCGGCCTGCCTCTGTCTTACTTCCTCCTTGAAGCCTTTCCGGCCACACTGTCCTTCCCCTTCTCTGATTGATCACGAGCGCTTTCACCACTTGGGGCTGTTGTTTGTGCCCACCCCCCACTTCCTCCCTTCCTTCCTCCCTCCGTCCCTCCCTCCCCCTTCCCTGGGAGCACCTTTCCCAGCTCAGTTGCCTCCAGAGAGAGGGCTCCATCCTTCCCCACCCCTTGCTTCCTTTCTGGTCTGTCCCTGGGCCCAAGGCAGGTGCTCAGCAAACCCACAGGGTCCTGATGTTACAGAACATCTGGTCCTTGGGCCATTAGGATCCTCTCTGCAGAAAAGAGGCTGTTCACGTTCAGGCAGAGAAGAAGTGAAGTGACTAGAGAAGACCTATTTTTGGAGCTGGTGCTCCGCAGGGCGTTCTCAGAACAACACCTGCCTGGCCCATTGCGGCCTGCGGGCCCTGCTAACGTGTATCATCCTACGGAAGCAGGACTGATAATGGTCAGCATAGACTGAGTGCGCACTGAGGCTGTACTTTCCCCCAGAGCTGCTTTTCCTGAAGTGTCTGATTTACCCCTCACCATGACCATGAGCGGAACCAGATGGCCGGGTTCAAATCCACACTCCTCCTCCTACTTCTTGGAGCCTTTGGACCATCCTGCTGAGCCTGCATCTCCTCCTCTGTTAAATGGATAATAACAGAACCTACCTCCCAGGCACAGAGTAAAGGCTCATCGTCACCATCCTCCCCCACATCACTGGTTTTCAGTCGATGAACCTGAGGCTTGGCATGCAGGGCATCTGGCCCGAGGTCACCCAGCCGCCCAGGGGCGGAGCTAGCCCTGGAACCCATGTGGGACGGTACTGGGAACCAGCCCACTGGAGTGTCATATCTGTGATTTTTGAGGGAGCAGAGAGATGGAGAGATACTGGAACATCTGAGCATGTCAGGGCCAGATGATTAGAGAAACTTATCTCTGCCGGCGCGTCGGTTGAGTGACGCGGCCTGAAAACCTTCCCTGATATCTTGAGACCCAGCTGGTCTCTGCCGTCTCAGTTCCTTTCTCATCACACTTACTATGGGGCTGAAACCCTTTGATGAAGACCAGCCTGACCTTTAGAGCGTCCCAGCCTGTGCCGGTGGTGAGGTGCGAGATGAGAGTGAGAAACAGTGGGGGAGGGGCTTGCAGATTAAGCCCCCGACTGGCGTCTTTGTCCTCTTTACATGTTTCCTCCACGTCCCTGTGAAGGCAAGGGGTTCTTTATACCCATTTTACAGATGAGAAAAACTGGGGGCTAGGGAGAGGCAGTGTCTATGGCCACCTCTCTGGAAAACTGGTCTCTGTCTCTGTCTCTTTCTTTCTCCTTCTCTCTCGCATTTACTCTCCTCCAGCCACACTGCCTCCTGGCTGTTTCCCTTACAGACCCCATACACTCCCACCATGCCCCTTTGCGTTTGCTGTTCCTGTTACCAGGCATGCCCTTCCCCCAGATTTTTGCAGGACTCTCTCCCTTGCTTTATCCAGACTCTCTGTTCACATGTCACCCCCTCAGAGGGGCTTCCTTGACCTCCCAATTTGAAAGAACACCCCCTTTCCCAAGACCTTCTAGCCCCTCATTCTGATGTGTCTTTGCAATATTTGTCACTGATTTTTCTTAATTTTGGCCCACCTCCTTTATTAGAATGTAATAGCCACCAGATGAGGAATTTTTCTGTTTTATTAACAAATTTGTCCACAGACTCCAGAACACTGCCTGTTGGGGAGGAGCTGCTCAGGGGACATTTATTAAATGAATGAATGAATGAATGAATGAATGAGTGGTGTTCTCCAGCTCCAGATCACAACTTGTGTCCAGAGTAGAGCTGGGACTTGGTTCAGGCCTGGGTGTCCTGGAGGCTGTTTGGTGCCCTCTGGGCCGATGTTCCTCATTCCTGCCCTCTCCTCTACCCTAGGAACTCGCCAAGAGGACCCCCGGCAAGCACCCCGACCACCCCGCGGTCCAGAGCGCCCTGCAGGCCATGAAGACTGTCTGTTCCAACATCAACGAGACCAAGAGGCAGATGGAGAAGCTGGAGGCCCTGGAGCAGCTGCAGTCGCACATCGAAGGCTGGGAGGTGTGTCTGGGGCAGGAGGAACCTTCTGGGCTGGGGACGGGCCCGGGGGGTGCACAACTTGGGTTCAGACTGTGGTCTGGGCACCAGATTTGGCCTGTAGCATATTTTGTTTGGCCTCCATGGTGTTTGCAAAAAAAAAAAAAAAGTTTAATTATTTTTCAATTAGGTCCACATAAAAGTCTAGATTTAAAGTTTCTCTTAAAAAATCGGTAACACTGAGCCCCCATTTTCCATGGCAACAGCCTCTGGAGCCTCTAGTTTTCCTCCATCCCCACCACTCCCCAGTCACTCTCCTTCGCATGTTGCCTGTCTGCCTGGTGTCCCTTGAGCTTTTGATGCCAAGGTCAAGGGTAACTTTTAAGGGTTCACTCCAGGATAGAATTCTGGCTTTGACACTCCCGTACTGGGTGACTGTAGGCCAATGTCTTAACTTCTCTGAACTTCGGTTTCCTTATCTATACCTGCGTAGAGTCGGTGCTCAGTAAGTGATAGGTATGGATATTACTATGGTGATGATTATTAAGGGATGGGATTCCTGAGATCTTCTGCTGTGTCTTCCTTAAATTATTAGAGCTGTCCTAAAAGACCTGTAGGATGAAATGGGAAAATCTGAATCAATAAAAAAGTCAATATCCGAGTAAGTACAGCTGGAATGGGAGATGAAGACTAAAGAGGAGCGACTCTTGGACGCAGATAATTTTCTGAATCATCTGTCTTAGACCCTTTGGGTGTGCTGGCACTGGCTGCATTTGGGATTTCCACTTCATCTCCCTGTGTTGGGGAGTCCTAAATGCGACCGTATAGGTGCGAGGTTGAGGGTATGGCTGCAGAGGGGAGGGACCTGTGCTCTGGAGGAGGTGGGTGTTGTGGATTAGTGTTTGGCATGTACCCACTCTCCTCTACCTGGCCTTCCCGCCCGGCTGGAGAACAAATAGTTGCATTTCTCAGACTCCTTTGTAGCTCAGGTTTGGCATATGATTGGCCTAGATCAGATCCAGCTGCTCGAGATTTGGAAAGCGGGAGTGGGACGGAGGCCACCCTTGTGCTGTTGGTGCAGCAAAGCACGGCCGTGGTTCTGTTTGACTTTCTGTGATAGCATTTGCAGAGGGCCCGGTTTCCAGCTTCTGAGTGTCAAGAGGAAGGGCATCCATTGTGTTGCTGGTGGCGTGTATCTAGCAGGATGGGGTGGCTTTGTAGCTGAGAGTTGAGGCAACGGCTTCTGAGGGCCTGGAAGCAGCTTGGGCAGCATTTCCCTAGAATATCAGCTCGGGCAGGTGGTGGTCTGCCTCTCCTGGAGGAGAACTGGCTTCCCTGGAGGGCCAGTTCGACAGTGTTCTTGGTTTTTCTGGCAGCTGTGAGTCTAGGCTCTTCTAACCCCTCCAAGGATTGGATAAGGCCCTCATTTCTTTCTGCTTAAACTGCATAGCTTGGTTTCTGTTCCTGCACCTGAAAATTGTGTCAGGATGTGTCCTCTAAGGAATCACATTTCACCTTCATGATGTCAGAGCTCTGATTAGGTTTCTTGTGATCCTCTCAGCCTTCCCCTCTATGGTTCCATGATGGCAGCAGCTCCAAGCATCATGTGTTCCAAAGCAGGAGGAGACAGGGGCTCGGCCAGGGCAGTGAGGGGGAGCTCTCCTCCCTAGTGGAGGAAAACCTTTCCCAGAAGACCTTTCCAACTCATTGGCCAGAAGTGCGTCAACTTGGTCACTTTCAGCAAATATGCTGACCTAAAGAGCACATAGAGTGGACACGGTTAAACATCTGCCTGTTTGGGCTTTGAGCTTCCTGGCAGCCAAGGTAAAAAGAGCAGGACACCGAAGTTACTCAGCATTCATTGTCAAAAAAGGAACAAGCTGAGCAGTTCTTCTGGGTGACAGAGAGTTTCCTGGCATCCAGCTAGAAGGGAAATTTCTCACGTGAGCCCCTGTGGAGAGAGTATTAAGCAAGCGATTTGGCAGCCAGAGCAGAAGTGATTTCCAGATGCCTCCTGGTAAGGGCCTAGGGAAATAGGAACCAAGGGTCTTTGGGGTCCTTGTTGACCCTGAACTATCTGCAGTTTGAGAGTGGCCCTTGTTTTGATCTCTGTCGCTGGGTAAAGTAGGAAATAAAGTGACGTAGAGTAAGAATTGCTGACAATTTACTGAGCACCTATTACACATTTTCAACGCTGGAAGAGAGGGCAGTTGTTATCCCTATTTTACAGATGAGAAAACTGACGTGCAGGGTCCTGGCTTTGGTGCCCAGCCTTTTTTTTTTTTTAAATTTATTTAATTAATTAATTTATTTTTGTCTGCATTGGGTCTTCGTTGCTGCACGTGGGCTTTCTCTAGTTGCGGCGAGCAGGGGCTACTCTTTGTTGCGGTGCACGGGCTTCTCATTTCAGTGGCTTCTGTTGTTGTGGAGCACAGATTCGAGGCACGCGGGCTTCAGTAGTTGTGGCACACGGGCTCAGTAGTTGTAGCTTGCAGGCTCTAGAGCACAGGCTCAGTAGTTGTGGCGCACAGGCTTAGTTGCTCCGTGGCATGTGAGATCTTCCCGGACCAGGGCTCGAACCTGTGTCCCCTGCATTGGTAGGCGGATTCTTAACCACTGTGCCACCAGGGAAGCCCCCAGCCTTTTAACTTACAGATTATCCTGCCTTATGCAAGTTTGTCCTACTCTCCTGGCCTCATTTTCCCCTACTTGTCTAATTTCAGAAACCTCTGAAGTTATCTCCTGGCGTCATTGTGAGGGTCAAGCGAAGGGTAGAACATGAATGTTCTTTGGAAAATGTGAAATGGTTTTCTGTATAGTAGAAAGGTTTTTAAGTTTAATCCTCAAGATGACTTGGGAAAATAATACATTCTAGCTAGAAAAAATAACGTTTAACAGTGAAGCTGCTTGTAATAGCTTCATGCCCTCAGTAGTTAGAACCTCAGGCCAGGCCAGGGCACGAACCCGCGTCCCCTGCATCGGCAGGCGGACTCCCAACCACTGCGCCACCAGGGAAGCCCGCTTTCTAATCTTTTTGTTTGACCTCTTGCCAATCTGATTAGAGGGCTGTCATCTCTCTTGGAATATGGCTGACAAGGGACTTATTTCTGGAGGAGGGGGAGTCTTTTCTTGGCCACTTTCTTGCTGTGCGCTTGGGCTTGCATCATTAGTTTGATCTCCAATCTCTGGGTTGTTTTTTTTTTTGGCCTGATCCTCTGTAAGCCAATTGTCCTTTTTAGTTGTGGGACTGGTTTAGTTAAAACCGGATAAGTTAATCCATAAATCCATTTTACTGAGCACAAGTAAATGGGAGTATGTTGCCATACTGTGGATGTGAGTATATGAGCCCACCCCCTCTGCTTGGTGGGGTACCTTTGCCTCAGTTTCCTCATCTGTACAGCCTGGCTAATGGCAGGATGCCCCACGGGTCACTTGAGGATTCAGGGAGTGGATACATGCAAAGCGCTCAGAACGGTGCTTTCTTTATTGGATCAGAGTAAACGCTCAATAAACGTCAGGAGGAGCCGTGGCAGCAAAGCAGGACTTCTTTCTTCATTTTTTTTTAGATGAGAAAACATCATGCAACTTTTTGCCTAGGGCTCATACCAGTGTGGGCTGACCCTCCTGCAGAGGGACACTCCGGACGTTGGGCCCCGCAGACTTCCGTGAGAAGCTCACTGTCATAAAAAGAAGTGCATGTTCTTAATAAGAAAGAAATAGAACACACCACTCTTGCTGGCTCTGGAAGCCCTGCTTTAAGAGACCATCAACTGCACTCACCCACGAGGGACAGAAGGAAATAGGGGTGAGGAAACATAAGACCATTAAAAACAAGGACCATAAACAGAAGTTCTTGTATGTTCTTCCCACCCTCCCTGGGATGCCTTGTGCTCTTGCCCCGTCGAAGACCCCTGCTCTAGACCAACAGCTGCATAAAAACACCTTCAGGTTACCTTCTAGGAGGCGGCACAGGGTATAGTAGAGGTGAGTGGATAGGATGGTGGGACCGCCTGTCTGGGTTCAGGCCCCAGCTCACTCACTGACCATCTCTGTGACCGTGAACAAGTCACTTCACTGCCCTGTGCCTCAGCTTCCTCCTCTGTAAGATGAGGGTTGTGAGGATTAACGGAGTTTTGTAAGATCCTTAGAACTGGAGTTGGTGGGTGGTGAGCCCTATGCCTGTGTTAGCTTTTGTCATCTTCTCTGAATGTCACCACTTCAGTTCTGCACCGTCTGAAAGAGGACTCCAGCCCTGACTGGCGGACACCTTGGTGCTCAGCCTCTTCCCTGTGTATCTGATCCTTAGCACCACCCCTGACCTGGGATCAAGGATTCTGGGGAAACCGAGTGTCAGCTGGGCTTCTTAGCAGGCCTGGGGTGGAAGGGGCCTTCCCCTGTACTGTCCTTGGCATTTCAGATGCAGTTGGCTGGGTGGTCCTTGGCCAAGGCCAGGGAGGCAGCTTCCCAGGCTGGGTGTGCTTCTTCTCTGCCGTCCCCTGACATTGGTCTAGGTCTGTGTGACCTCCAGGCTCTTGGGCCCTACAGCTGGGCCAGGTACTAGGTTCATATACAGTACATACGAACGAGTTCCATTCCAAGAGTGTGTTTGTAAGTCCAGTTTGTTCACGAGTCCAACAAAGTTAGCCTAGGTACCCAACTTTTTTTTTTTTTTTTAATTTATTTATTTTTGGCTGCGTTGGGTCTTCGTTGCTGCGCGCGGGCTTTCTCTAGTTGCAGAGAATGGGGGCTACTCTTCCTTGCGGTGTGCGGGCTTCTCATTGCGGTGGCTTCTCTTGTTGCGGAGCACGGGCTCTAGAGCGCAGGCTCAGTAGTTGTGGCACGCAGGCTCAGCAGTTGTGGCTCACGGGCTCTGGAGCACAGGCTCAGTAGTTGTGGCGCACGGGCTTAGTTGCTCCGCGGCATGTGGGATCTTCCCAGACCAGGGCTTGAACCCGTGTCCCCTGCATTGGCAGGCGGATTCCTAACCACTGTGCCACCAGGGAAGCCCGGTACCCAACTTTTACAGATAACGCCAGACACGAAAACTAAGTTATGTGATTGGACATGCAAACACATGTTCGCATCTTTGAAAGTTCGCAACTTGAAGATTCGTATGTAGGAGACTTACTGTACAAGCAGCCAAAATCTCCCTTTGGAGCCTGGAAGGGCTGGTGGGTGGACATGAGTGAGGTGGAGGAGACAGGAAGCACATGGTCTCGAAGGAACTGTCGAGTTGCTCTGTGCTCTGAGCTGGCCCATGGGCCACTGATGGAGTCTTATCTACCAGGGAATCGCACTCTCCCTGTTTGCAAGGATACTGGGGCTCCAAGGGGCTCTTCATCCCCTAGCCCCAGGGCAGCAGGGGTGCTACCTCGCTGGGTCGCTGTGCTGTGGGCATCACATATCTGCCTGTGTGGCACGCAAGCGTCCAGGCTGTGATTTCTGTTAACGGGTGTGTGCTTCTGTCCTGGGCTGCACAGCTCTTGATTGCAAAGAAGCTGGTTTCCCAGGACCCCGAGTGGGCCCCAGAGAGGGTCTCTGGCACCATTGGGCAAATGGATTTGCTGCTTCTAGCCGGCCCGTGGGCACAGAGCAAACCGACTCTGACAGCAGTTGGGGAGACTGCAGTGGGCAGTTAGAAAACAGCCTGATTTCTGAGTTGCCAAAACCAGTTTCCCATACTGGGTATCAGAAATAATTGAGTCAGCAGATCTTTCTGGGGTATGAACGCCTTGTCACTTCTGGGCGTTGAGTGTCTGGGGAAGGAGATTCTATGAAGAATTCTCCTTCTTTCCTCCCCAGGTTCCTTTCCAGGCAGAGGTAGCATCATGTCTCTTTGTTGTGATCTGCAGGTTGGTGAAATGAATTTCCCCTAAAATACCACTTTTGCATAATACCCCCTGGGCCTAAATGTCAGAGGCACCCCCTTGCCCGCCTGTGGATGGGGCCTCCAACCTTATCATGATGTATTTAAAAGTACATCAAGTATTTACAGTTGGCGGCTGTAAGAAAGAGAGACTTCAGTGGCTTAAATGAGATAAAAGTGTATTTCTCAGCAGTGATGCAGGCTTGGGGTGGGGCACCTCTGCTCCATTCGGACTCTGGTCCCTTCCAACGCCTTCCTCCGTCCTTTGCTACGTTGTATTCCACTACCGTGGCCATCTTCCAGCCTATGGCAAGAGGAGGGAAGAGAGGAAAGGGAGGGAGGCAGTTTTCTCAAGGAAATGATATAGAAGTGAGGCATACTGGCCATAATGTGGTCACGTGACCACGCCTGGCACAAGGGATGCTGGGAAGTGGAGTCTGTGGTTGGGCAGCCATGTGCCAGCTGAAACTCCATGCCTATGACGGAAGAGGAGCACGGATTTGGGGACCCTCCGGGGGCTTCCTTAGCCGGCATTCTGTGCCCTCCAAGGTCTCTTTCCAGCTTCCTCTCTGTTAGCACTTTGGGATCTCTCTGCCCCTGCCTTGGTCCCCCCAGGGTTCCAGATGGACCTGTGTGGTCCCTGGCTCTGAGGACTCCTCCCAGCAGGGACCTTGCCTATCCCTATCCTCAGCCTCTTTATCTTCGCCATCCTCCCAGGCCCATCTTGCTCCTCCCCGGTGCCTTTCCTGACCACATTGCCCTGAACCCCATGGAGGTTCAGTGAACGTCATGCACACCTAACATCTTGGTCGTTTAGCATAGATGACCAGGTAGAATTTGGGAACTGATCCCGTCTATTCTCACGTCCTGAGCTAGAGAGGGGGCTCTCAGAATCCTCTGCCCCTGGTGGAACTCACATTGCATTGGTCACCTGTTCTGCAAGCATTTATTGAGCACCTACTGTGTGCCAGAGAGTGCAGTAGGTGCTGCGAATACCGTGGCAAATGCTTGATAGATGCTTGATAACGCTTCCTGTCCTTATGGAAGTGGCATTCTTGTGGAGGAGATAAAGTAACAAGTCAAGACACGAATAAATAAGGGGAGGAGGAGAGAGGCAAAAACCCAACCAAACAAAACCCATAACAAAACCAGATGTCAACTAGGGCCGTGTGAGCTGAGTGAGTCCTTTCACCTCGCTGAGCCCCAAGCCCCTGTTCTGTGAAACGGTCATCTGTGTATGCTCCTGCCAGCATTGTTCTGGCACACTCACCAGAGGGAAGCCATCGATCAGGCTGTGTTGGGTTTCTGTCTGCTCACAGATGTGCCTCCAGTGGTGCATTGAGATTTTGGGGGTGCGAGGGAGGCAGGTACAGGCTCTGTCTGTGGGAAGGAAGGAGGGCTTTCCCAAGGGAGCTCCTGCATTTGCCAGCTCATGCACCGCAACCCCCCATCGCTCTCCCAGGGCTCCAACCTCACGGACATCTGCACCCAGCTCCTCCTGCAAGGGACTTTGTTAAAAATCTCCGCGGGCAATATCCAGGAGAGAGCCTTCTTCCTCTTTGACAACCTCCTAGTCTATTGCAAGCGGAAATCCAGGTGAGTTGCTGGGGAGACTGGGACAGGGCTGCCCGGGTGGGCTGGGAGGCTGGGATTGGGTTGAACTCTTGACATAGGCTTGTCACTTCCCTCTCTAGGCCTCCCTTTTCTCTTCTGAGTTCAGGGATTTGTTCTAGATCAGCACTATTCAAGAACATAGGTTATTTAAAATTTTCTGGTAATCACGTTAAAAAGAGCAAAAGAAATAGGTGGAATGAATTTAAATAGCATTGCATTTACCCCCATATGTGCCCAAATATTATTATTTCAACTTACCTTAAAAATTTATTAAATAGGTATTTTGCATTCTTTTTAAAAATTTACGCTAAAGCTTCAAAATCTAGTCTGTATGTTACACTTATAGCACATCTCAGTTTGTACTAGGCACCCTTTAAGTGTTCAGCAGCCACCTGTGGCTTGTGGCTGCCACAGTGGACAGTGTAGGTCGAGACAATCATGGAAGTTTGGAGAGTCTTTGTGCCACCAGAATCCTGTGATTCTAAGATCCAAAGGTAGATGGTTTGAGGGGAGGGAAGTCCTCTCCTGTTAAGTTTTTTGAGGGAAAGATAGTATCTTTGTCATCTTTGTGTCTTTCACTGGAGCGTCTTAAACTTGTAGAGTGAATGGCTGGGTGGGTGAGTGGTAGACTGCTGCGGATGTATGCATGGTTGGACGTGTGGGCAAATGGGAGGAGGGATAGATGGGTAGTTGCAGGTTTGGGAGATGAATGGGAGTGATTGTGTGTGTATGAATTGATTCGTGGATGGACGAACGAGTAGATGAATCAGTGAGCAGTCAGGTGGTTGGAGGTTTAGGAGATGGCTGGATGGAGGGGTAGATAGAAAGTTGGGGGAATCTGTGAATGTTTGGGTAGTTGGAGAAATGGAAATGAAGACATGATGAGGCAGCAGAGGTTGTATTTATTTATGTATTTAAATATTTATTTATTTACTTTTACTTGTTTGTGCCAGGTCTTAGTTATGGCTCGTGGGCTCCTTAGTTGTGGGATCTAGTTCCCTGACCGGGGATTGAACCCAGGCCCCCTGCATTGGGAGCGCAGAGTCTTAACCACTGCACTACCGTGGAAGTCCCTAGGAGAGGTGTATTTAAATGAGAGGTGTGTTGGGGTCTTTATGTGTGGTTTGTTGAGTGAATGGGTAGATGGGTGGACGGTTGGATGGTCATAAACTTGGGAGGCTGAGTGGGTGGTGGAGGTTTGGAGATTAGTGGATGGATGATCGGTTGGATGGGTGTGTTGAAGGATGATTGGTTGATGGTTGCCAGGGTGCTTGGACTGTGGTACGGGAGGTTGGTTGATAGGATGGTTGAGTTGATGGATAGGTGGATGAATGATTGGAGAGACGGAAAGTTAGGAGACGGAGGGGTAGGGGCACGAGTGGATGGTTGGATGCATGAGTGGGTGGGTAGATTGGTGGACCAAGAGAATTCTTGCCTTTCAGTTTTCTCGCTGAGGAGGTAGAGGACAACTGACCAGTGCAGCCCTTTTTGAATTAAGCTTCCTGTTATTTTGTTTTAGGGATGAAATGGTGACTTTCCAGAGGCTTCTTTACTCTTTTATCTAGCAAAAGTTAGGGCTGAGGGGAGGTCCAGATCCTGGGTCCTACTGTCAGCATCACCTCCAACTTCCATTGTGGCTCTGGGCTTGTCACTTACTGTCTGTCTGAGCCTCGTTTTCCTTGTCTGATTCTGCTGGCCTCCTAAGGTGGTGGTGAGGAACCTTTCCACAGGATGAATGAGGGCTTTCCGTGTGAGTGTGGGGAAGCTTCTCATTGTCTTCCTCCTCCAGCCTGACCTCTCTGAGCCTCAGTTTTCTCTTCTGTAAAATGAGGTTGATAAACCCCTTCTTACAGTAGTGTTTGCTTAAGAGCAACTGTTGAATCCCTGCTCAGCCATTTCTCTAGCTCTGCGACTTTGCCTCTCTTTGCTTCAGTTTTCTCATCTGTAAACTAGGATGAATTATCATGTATCTTGTACCGTGTACAAGGGCAAACATGTTAAGTGTGCCTGGCACATAGTAAGTGCCCAGAATAAGGAGTGGCTGCCATTACTGTTAACTTACCTCCACATGTGATGTGTTCCTATTCAGTGCGATCCCACGGGTGCAGCACCTGGCACATAGTAGGTGCTTTAGCCACAGGCCCCTCCCCTTCCCCCCTTTCCTCCCTGTTCTGGGACTTGGTCCTTCTGGTCAGAGGCCTCCATCTCCCTCTTTCACCATCTCTGAGTGGCTGGGTCAGTGTGTCTCTTTCTCATTTGATATTTTATTCCCGTTAGTCTGTCTGCATCTGTCTCATGTCCTCCTATCCCCCCATCAATGCCCCCTTCTCCTTCCTCCTTGCTTCCTGCCTGTTCTCACTGGAGCCATCCTGAGAGTCCTTCTTCGACAATGCCAAGGCCACTGCCAGCGTCCACCCCTAGCCCTTCCCCACCACCCGCCGTGGGCTGTCTGAAGCAGGCACTTCTCCCAGAACACTGGGGTTTAGAAAGCAGAATGTCCCTTCAGGCCTCTGTGACCTCCCAGCCTGGGCCACGTTTGCTCAGCCTTCAGTCACCCTGTCGTGGGCCCTTCCTCCACTGGAGCAGTAGCAGCTGACGCTGATTGTACTGGACACCCAGTGGGTCGTCTAGGGCGCACGCACTCTTGTAAGGCCGTTTCCTGTCTCAGGCCTGCAAATGAGCTGGGCTGGCTAGAAGGAGAGGGCACATCTGTCGCCTGGGAGAACCTGGCAGGCGGCCTCCGCCCCTGCTCTGGGTCAGGAGCCAGAGGGCTGGGCTCCGAGAGGTCTCAGAGGGATTGGGCATTGGTGGATGGAACTCGCAGCGTGGCTCTGATGTAGTCACAGGAAACGCCTGATGCTGGTAGGTGTCTGTCTACGGTCGTGTGTTTGCCTGGGCCATGCCAGGCACTGCCCCTCCGGGTTGTGGGTCGGGGGAGGTCTCTGACTCAGAGTGCTTCTGGTTTGATTCAAAAGCAGAGGCTCCTTGGATGTCAGGAGTGGAAGGGAGAGTTTTTAAAAACGCACCTCCCCATTCTTCAGAAGGCGAAACTGAGACACAGAAGAGCTAAGTCTCTTGTATCTCGACTGCTTGTTTAACATCTTAGAGGCGTCAGCAGCGTGTGGTGGTTAAAGACTCAGAGACGCTGCTGCTTGCAAGCTGTGTGACCTTGGGCAAGTTATGTCAGCTCTTTGTGCCTCTGTTTTCCTGTCTGTTTAATGGGGATGAAAGCAGTCTCCATCTCATGAGGTGTTTTTTATAGATTAAGATAAAACATGTAACGTGGTTAGAATGATGCCTGGCACATGGTATGTAAGGTAGAAGAAATCTAAATCCGTATCTTCCCTTGGGTGTGTCACAGACGGCTTACACTTAACTTGGGTCTAAAACAAGACTCTTCATTTTCATTGTAACTCCTGCTCCAAAGCTTTTCCTCCTTGAGTCGTCGTCGTTCCCAGTAAATGGCACCATCATTTACCTAGGATCTCGGGCCAGAGTTTTAGTTGTCCTTGATTCTGACCTGCCTCACCCCCCATCACCAGCAAGCGCTTTGCATTCTCTCATCAAACGTTGGTCAGAACCTCAATGTAATTATGATAAAAACTCCAGGAGGGAGGTTGTGTGTATATGTACGTAAATGATTTTAAAATTGACATGGAAACAGAAAGAGACAAAAATAGCTAAAGACAGTTTTGAAGAAGAACAAAGCTGGAGGACTTTTATTACTGATACCACAGCTCACTATAAAGCTATAGCAATTAGGACAACGTAGTACTGGCGTAAAAACAGGCAGAAAGACGAATGGAATGGAGTACTGAGTCCAGAAGCAGACGCACGCGTAAGCAGTCATTTGAGTTTCAACAGAAGCACCAATGAGGTGCAATAAATGGTGCTTGGTCAGTTTGATATCCAGTGGGAAAAATGAGTCTTGAACCCTTACTTCACACAGCGTACAGAAGTCATCCTCAGATGGATTATTGATTTAGCTGTGAAAGATAAAACAATAAAGCTTCTAGAAGAAGGCATAGGAGGCTATCTTCATGATCTGGGGGGTAAGCAAAGATTTCTTAAATTGGACAGAAAGTATAATTATAAAGGAAAAATAGATTTATCAGACTACCTTAAGATTAAGAACTTCCGTTCATCAAAAGACACCAAGATGAGAGTGAAAAGGCAAGCCACAGAGGAGGAGAAGGTCTTTGCAATCCACTTTGCAGAGGACTCATATCCAAAATATATAGGCCAGATTTGGCCCTCTGCCTATTTTTATAAATAAAGTTTTATTGGCACACAGCCACGCCTATTCATTTTTGTGTTGTCTGTGGATGCTCTCATACCTCAAGGGCTGAGTTAAGCAGTTGTAACAGAGACCATATGGCCCACACAATTGAAAATGTTTACTCTCTGGCCCTTTTTCAGACGAAATTTGCCGAGCCCTGCTATAAATCATTAAGAAAAAGACAGACAACCCAACAGAAAAATGGTCAAGGGACAGTCATTTCACAAGTGGAAGACACCACATGGCCAATAAACATGAAAAAGTGCTCGGCCTCATGATTCATCAGGGAAATACAGATGAAATCTTTATTAGAGACACTCCTTTCTGCTGCCAGAATGGCCCAAATGAGAAATTAAATACCAGTTATGGAGGATGTGGAGCAACTGGAATGTCCCTATGCTGCTAGGGGTGGGAGAATTGATACGGCTTGGCAGTATCTAGCAAAGCCGATCGTATGCATTCCTTATAACTGAGCATTTCTTCAACCCGAAGAAATGCTCACGTATGTTCTTCATAAGACATGTGCCAGAACATTGACAGCAGCACCAAACTGGAAGCAACCCAAATGTCCATCACCATCACCCTGTGTGATTCCACGTATGTGAAGTTCTAAAACAGGCAGAGTGAATCCATGAGTTTAGACGTCAGGGTAGTGGTTACCCTTGCAGGGGGTAGTGACCAGAAGGGGGCGTGATGGAGGGCTTTTGGGGTACCTTCTGCCCTCCTGTATTGGAAGGTATATTCTCAGAGACTTTGTTTTGTTCCCTGCTGCAGCCCTAGCACCTAGAATAGTGCTTGGTGCCCAGCAGGTATTTTCTTGAGTGCCTGTTGAATGCATGGGTGAGTGACTCCCCTGGTCCCAACTTGGTATCCTTCCCATACGAAGCACTGGTCAGATTGTTTGTTGAGTGACTAAATGGGTGAGCAAGAGAATTCACCTGAATGAATGAATGAATGGTGGGTAGGTAGATGTAAGTGGTTGGGTGGATGGACTTCCTACTCCAAGTTCCTCTCCATTCTGGTTTTATTTCAGGAAGTTCCTGTTTGTTAGGCACCCTGAGAGTCTCTACCCATTTTCTAGGCTAGAAGAGTGGGTTTCTGTTGCTTCTTGTTGGTTTCACATCCACATCTCCTGTTGGCTCAGAAGTAGCTCTGGGAGGTCAGCAAGGCTATTAACCCATTTTCCAGATGAGGAAGCCGTGGCTGAGAGTGGAAAAGTGACTTGCTCAAGTCACCCAACCACCAGCCAAAATGCCATACTTCTGACCTGGTTCCCGCACTTCTCCTGTCCCCGGGCGCCCTTCTGTGTTACTGCCTTGCTTCCCTTTGCTCTGTTGAAGACGGTTGAGCCCCAAGGAGAGGAGGCATAGGGGACATTGACTTCCCACTGTCTTTCAGGGTCACTGGGAGCAAGAAATCCACCAAGAGGACCAAATCCATCAACGGCTCCCTGTATATCTTCCGGGGTCGAATCAACACTGAAGTCATGGAGGTGGAGAACGTGGAGGATGGGACAGGTAGGTCCCCACCCATGCCCTGCCCGAGCCCAGCCCCCCTGCTCTACAGCACAGTTTCTGCTGCGGTTCACCAGTGTTTTCCTTTGATCGGGAAAGATAACCTGTCCACAGAAAAGTGCCTAAAACATATGCACATAAAGCTAACCCCTGGGTGGTCACCATTCAGGTTAAGAAATAAACTGCTACCTGCACCCCGGAAGCCCCTCACACGCCCCTCCCTGGCCACAGTGCCTCCTTCCCCCCGGAAGTAACCACGCTCTGAATTTTGTGACGATGATTTTCTTGCTTTTTAAACATATTTTTACCTCCTAAATATGCATTGCTAAACATTTTAATTAAAATTTCTGTTTTCGAACCTTATTTAAATGGTTATATGATTACAAATACATATAAAATTATATATATGTATTTCTTATTATTATTGCTTCTCACTGTGTTTCTCTGGGTAGCACTGGCCCAGAATGTGGATTCTCTTTTTTTTTCTTTTTTAAATTGAGGTTTAGTTGATTTACAACATTCGATTAGTTTCAGGTGTACAACATAGTGATTCAATATTTGTATAGATTGTAGTCCATTTAGTTACTACAAGATAGTGGCTGTGTTCCCCTGTACTGTACAATATATCCGTGTTGCTTATCTATTTTATACGTAGTAGTCTGTATCTCTTAATCCCATACCCCTGTCTTGTCCCTTCCCCCTTCCCTCTCCCCACTGGTAACCACTAGTTTGTTCTCTATATGATATAAATGGTCATAAAGTATACTGCATATTCTTTCGCATCTTGCTTCTTTCACTCAACCCCATGGTGGTGAGAGTCATCCGTGTTTCTGCATGTCGCTCTCTGTAGCTTGTCGGTTTCCGTTGCTGTGTAGTTTTCTCTTGCACAGATAGTCCCCCGTTTACCCATTCCTTTTGTGAGGGACATGTGGGTTGTTTCTGTTGTTTACCGTTATAAACAGTGATCCTATGAGTATTCTTGTGTGTACGCCTCTTGGTGTATTTGTCCTTGAGCTTGTCCAGGACAGGGGTTCTGAATTGGTTTTGAGCCACAGACCCCTTTGGCAGTCTCACGAAACCTGTGGACCCCTCCTCAGATTCAGGGTACAGCTGGCTGCAACATTCCTGGATAACGTCAGCCTGTTTTCAGAGAGGTTTGCCAATTCCCATCCCAGCCAACACTCTGTAAGGGCCCGTGACTTGGCATCATCAGGCTTACACTAGGGTTTTATGTAGCCCAAGTGCCAGAATGAGATGGGCAAGGAGGCATAAGGTGTCTCTCTTTGCAATCGAGGGGTTGGGAGGCTCTTTGCTTTGAGGTCTTTGTTGCCCACCAGAGAATAGATAGGAGAGGGAGCATCTGGAGGATAGTAAGTTCAACTCCCAAATCCTGATGCCATTGATGCCTCTGCTGCCCTGTCTTTCTGGAGGAGGAAGGACTGGTCCTGTGACCTCACTCGTAAGCATATAATGATGAATGTTGGGTTGTATGGCTGAGCTCTTGCTGACCCCGCTTTGCCTCTTTCCCTTGCCAGCTGATTATCACAGCAATGGCTACACCGTCACCAACGGCTGGAAGATCCACAACACGGCCAAGAACAAGTGGTTTGTCTGCATGGCCAAGACAGCGGAGGAGAAGCAGAAGTGGCTGGATGCCATCATCCGTGAGCGGGAGCAACGCGAGAGTGAGTGGCTGGGGGCTTCCCCAGATCCCTGGGGCGTATACGGCTTCCTGCAGCCTCGTGCCTTCTGTAGAGTGAGCTGTGTCTAGGGGAGGGGTGTAGGATCCTTTCCAGAAAGGTCAGAGCTACAGAAAACAGGTCTTTGAAGGGCAGAGAGCTCTGGGACTGTTAGAACTTGGTGGGATTTCAGCTCATCTGGTTTAGCCCACCAGACAGATGGGGAAACTGAGGCCCCATGGAAGGGAATTGCCCAAGGCCATGCCAGTGTAGTTGATCATCCTGAGATTCTTTGCTTCCTTCACCCTTGAGGGTTAGTAGTCAAGATGCTCCCTACGTGCCTCTGTCCCCTCCACGGTTCTGTTCCCTTCACCTGGGGTTCTTTTTGTTTGACATTCACCAAGTCTTTGGGAGGAGGGTCCTGGGGGCTGCCCCTAACTGTCATCATGAATGCTTGGGCCCAGGCACTTAGGGAGTGCAGAGCTGGGTGATAGTTGGGTGCACTTTGGGGGTGGGAAACTGAACTGCTGTACAGAGACCACAGTGCTTGGAAGGGGAGGCCATGGTGTGTTTGGGGGTGAGTTGCTTCCGCTTTCCATACCTCAGTGATGTGGCCTGGTAAATGGGGATAAAGCTCCTGCCGCAGAGGGTTGTAATGCTGCTAAATGAGGTTGGGATTTGATGATAAATACTTGCAGATTTGACTCATGATCCTAAAAATGGTACCTGCCGCCCAGCTTTACAGAGGAGAAAACAGAGGCCCGGTTTCCTCCATATCTATATTCTGTTCTCTTGAAATCCCTACTTGGATGTGTCGTGGACATCTCACACTTACCATGTCTAGTCAGAATTCTTAATTTCCACCCTGTCTTCTGCCCCAAACCCACTCATTCCCTGGACTTCCCCATCTCAGTAAGTGACTCCTTCAGTCATCCAGGAGCTCAGATTGAAACTGTTGGTGTCACACTGATGTCTGCCGACTCCCCAGACTCAGTAGATCAAGTCCCTTTAATTCTGCCTTCCACTTACATGCCAAGTCCATCCACTTCTGTCCTCTCTCTGCTTCCACCCAAGTACAAGTCACCATCATCTCTCAGGAATGAGTATGGGCCCAGCATGGCCAGGTCCATTGAATTTTTTTTTTTTTTTTGAGAAGTTAGACATCAGGATTTTTAGGTGACATGTCTTGATTTTAAATGTTGCATCAAAATTTATTAAAATGCCATTAGGCCAGGTAAACAACTGAACTTAGCCCCTGCTGCGGCAGGTTTATGACTTCTGACATGGATCAGGGCTGGGTGTGTGGTCAGGACTGGGGGTGGGGGTCAGGGGTGTGGCCTGGCCTGGGTGGGGCTGATCAGTATCTTTGTGGTCGGAATGGATGGCTGTGGTCAGTGCTGGACATATGTGCTCATGAGTGGAGTGTGGCCTGAGTAGGCCTTGGTTGTTAGAATCGGGGTATCACCCAAACCCTGAGCTCAGGGCTGAGTTTCCAGGTGTGGTACATGCTGTGGTCAAGAGCACAGATCTGGAGCCAAGCTTGAGGGTCTAAATCCTGGTTCCACTACTTCTAGACGGGCAACCTTGGACAGGAACTTAATTTCTAAGGACCTCAGTTTCTTCAGCTGTAAAATGGGGATAATGGAACTTGCCTTGTAGGTTTCCTGTGAGGATCAAGTGGCATAGAGTAGGCACTATAAAAGCATTTGCTATCATTATTTGTCACTACTCTTATTGTCAGGATTGGATGGGGTCCAGGTAGAAAATATGGGGCAGTGATTGGGATCATAGTTCTGTGTGTATTGTCTAGAGAAACGGGGAAATTTCCATCCCTGGCCTGGAAGGAAGGTCTCAATAGGTTTTCTCATAACGTCAGAATTTGGAAACCCATTCTCAGGTTGAAGGGTCGACTGCTTATTACCCTGGGACTTAGCCTCTCTGGACCTCAGCTTTGCAATCTGTGAAATGGGGGACTTACCCACCCTCCTCTACAAGGTCTTGTGTGGGGTCACTGGCAGGTGCCTAGAACAGTGTCCGACATGCAGGGAGTGCTCTATGGGTGACCACTGGCTGTGGCGGTAGTTGGGGGCAGCTGGGGGAAAGGCTTTCAGGAACCACATGCCCGCCTGCTCTGCTCCCCAGCGCTGGTGCTGACCGTGTCCCCTCCGCAGGCCTGAAGCTGGGCATGGAACGGGATGCGTACGTCATGATCGCGGAGAAGGGGGAGAAGCTTTACCACATGATGATGAACAAGAAGGTGAACCTGATCAAGGACCGTCGGAGAAAGCTGAGCACCATCCCCAAGTGCTTCCTTGGCAAGTGAGTGACCCCATCCTGGCCTCCGCTGTGTCCCTGGGTCTCGGCTGGAGGCTGGAGGTGGGCAGACCATCTGCACCCACGTGGCTTTTCCCAGCCCTGCCCCTTCCGCCATGGGCAGAGCCACTAAAGCACCTCGAATCCTTGTAGAAGAGTCCTTGGAGATCAAGGATAGTGGGGTGCCCATATCAGGGCTTTCAAATGTTTTGACCACAACTCACTGCCAAATGTAAGTTTTATATTGTGACCTGGTGCACACGTTCACGTAATATATGACTGAAGCCAAAGTTTCACAAAATTTACTGTGCTTGTTACACTCTGAAAATACCTGTCGATTCTGTTCTATTCTATTCTATTCTACTCATTTCTTCATTCATTTCAAAAATAGTGCTGAGTGAAACCCATGAAATTGATTTCACAAACTGTGAGCGGGTTTTCCACCATGGATTGAAAAACGCTGCTCTAGCATTCAAGCAAAGAGAAGCCCCTAGAGATATGTCAACCAGAAAGGTATTTAAGGCAGGGAGTTGATTTCAAAGGTTTTAGAAGAGCAACTGTAGACCTTTGAATTAGCCTTTTTGGACTGTCATAACAAAGTATCACCGTCTTGGCAGCTTAAACAATAGAAATTTATTTTCTCATAGTTCTAGAGGCTAGAAGTCTGAGATCAAGATGTTGGCTGGGTTGGTGTCTGGTGAGGCCTCCCTTCCTGAGATACAGAAGGGGAGGGGGAGGTCCATATGGTTTCAGTACTTAGGGCTTCCAATTTCTCTGTCTGGGAATTACATTATTTCCTAATAATAAAACATTATTACCCCCCACCCCTATTTTATAACCAAGGATCAAAGGATCAGAGCACAGGTGAGATGGGATTGGATCCTAGACCCAGGTTTAAATCTCATTCACCTGGGGGGAGGGGGCTGGGGATTGGGAGAAGCAGGAGAAATGCATTCCTTGTAAAACCATCAGGCTGTTTCCAGGCCCTACTGTGTGTTAGACCTAGTGGTCGGTGCTCTGGAGAGGGTAGAAGAATGCCCAGGGCTCCTGACCGCACAAAGCTTGCGGGGAGAGAAGCTTGCCTGTGAGGCTGGGATTTTGTTGAGAATTTATTAGCTTACACCCCACGCACTTCCCAAAAGATTTTGAAGAGTCCTGGGGTAAAAGCGGCTGTAATTATTATATTGCCGTAGACCAGGTGAGAGGTGCCATGGACTAGGGTAGTCACCGTTGAGATGGGGGGCAAGTAGTTGCATCCTGGATCATGTGGAAGGTGACAGCATTGGCTGATGGGGTGGAGAAAAAGGGAATTAAGGATCCAGAGCACCTGGAAGGGCTGGAGTGCTGATTGCTGTGAAAGGGGAGACAGAGGCAGGTTTCAGAGGGTGGGAGTAGAGCCCAGAGGCTCCACTTGGATGCCTACACTGAGACAGGATCCCGGACAGAGATGTCGACTTGTTAGTTGGATATGAAATCTTGACCCGGGGAGAAAAGTTCTGGCTTGGAGACCTAAGTGCAGGGGATGTGGGCATTTAGATGGTTTTCAGAGCCATGAGACTGAATGAAATCTGCAGGGGGATGGGTAGAGAGAGGGATGAGGCAGAGACTGGGCTCTGGGGAGGAGGAGGAAGCAGCAAAGGAGACTGAGAGGGAGCGGGCAGAGGGGTGGGAGGCATGCTGGCGAGTGCAGTGATCTGGAAGCCAGCTGAGGGAAGACGAAGAGCCCGTTTGCACGTGTTAAGGTCGAGATGCCCAGGAGACGTTCGCATATTGAACAGATGTTGGATGGGCAGCTGGAGACCAGTGTGAAGCCGGGGGCAGGGGGCAGGGGGAGCTGATTGGTCATGGCTTGGGGCAGCAGGCAGGGGATTTTGGGGGTGTTTGGGCCCCTGGAGTTGGCCTGGATGCCTTGGAGTCAGGCTGCCCTTTTGCCCTCAGGGTTAGTTGACCCCAGCTCCATGTTCCCTGGGAGGGTTGGCTGTGGGCCCCAGACCTGTGGGAAGCAGGGAGGGGGCAGCCGGGCTGGTCTCCATCAGCTAATTCCTAATCCCTGGGCAGAAAGGAGGTTTCTCTGGAGGAGGGGTTTGCTTCCGGCCCCCCCAGGGTCAGAGGACCTCCCCCCACCCCCACCCCCCGCCTCTTGCCAAACGCTTTGGAGAGCTTAGTCCAGCTGGATGGGCCAACCTGTCTGTGATTAGGGCTTCAGCAGGGTGTTCTGTCTCCTCAAGAAGGATTAGGGGAGATTTCTTTTACTGCCCATTTGAAACAGGGCCAGGATTGAAGCTTGTTTGGCAATCATTGGGCCCTCAAGGACCAGACTTCCTGCAGGAGATCGTGCTGATAAAAACTCTCCTTGTGTGGCTTTGCTCTGCACACAGCGCCGGGCTCGTGGTCCTCCTCCTTCCTGGTCAGGGCCCAGCTCCTCCTCCAGGAGCACCCGGGCCCCCTCCAGTGGAAGGAACCAGCAGCCACAGAGACACAATCCCGGAGCCTTTCTCTGCTCCAGGTGCTGCCATGTGGCCGTGCCTTTTAATCTTTGTGTGACACTGTGAGGCAGTTTACTGCCATTGTTCCCATTTTAAGGGTGAGGACACTGAGGCACAGAGAGGAAAAAGGTCCTGCACAAGGTCACATGGGCACAAATTGGGGGCTGGGATTTGAACCCAGTACTTTCTCTCACCACACTCTGCTGCGTTTATCCATTTTTATGTCTATTCAGCACATTTCGTTTTTCCTTGATCGTTACCTGTCTCTACTAGATGGGGGACTCCAGGAATACAAAAAGTGTCTGATTTATCTTTATAACCTTCAAGGGTTAGGCTTTGAATCAGACTTGGACTCAAGTCCTGCTTCCCCTGCCTTCTAGCTGTGTGACTTTGGGTAAGTTTCTTAACCTCTCTGAGCCTCAGTAAATGACCAATTAATGAGAGAGAATGAAATGTTTGCCTTGCCGGATTGTCGGAGGATACAGAGAGAAAACACATGTGACATGCTCAGCACATTGTGGGCAAGAGTGATGGAAATGTGATGGAGCTTAAGGAGTGGCCTGTTTCTGCCCTCATCAGAGACAAAGCTCATGGATGCCACGTGAAGAAAAACCAAGGAATGAAATCTGTGTATTTTTGTGGAGGCTTCATGGGAGGAACATGGCGTTTGCCCTCTAGGATCCTCGGATTCTAGGGAGACAAAATTGATTCCTTCATCTATCCCAGTCATTGTTTATTGAGCCCTTACTGTGTGCAAGCAGTGAACAGGACAGAGGAAACCCCTGCCCTCGCGGAGACAACAGGCCAGTAGGGGAATCAGAAACTAGATAAATACAAATAAGGAAGGGAATTTCAGTGACTTGATGAGTGCTTTAAGGAAATAAGTAGGTTGATGTGAGGAGGTGAGGAAAGGGGGTGTGGTTTCAGCCAGGGTGGTCAGGAAGGGCCTCTTGGGGGAGGTGACATTTTAACCAAGATCTGGATGACAAGCAAGAGCCAACCATGAGAAGATCTGGGGGAACAGCATTCCTGGCAGAGGGAATAGCAGGTGCGAAAGCCCCAAGGCTGCAATGAGCCTTGAGTAAATTGAGGAACAGCGAGGAGGCCAGCGTGGCTGGAGGGAGTGAGTGGCTGGGGGGTGTCGAGATGAGGCCACAGGGGGTAGCAGGGGCCAAATCAGGCAGGTAAGGGGTGAGGGGTTCAGATTCTATCCCAGGTGCTCTGGGAATCCATTGAAAGGGTTTACGTGGGAGAGTGAGGCGAGCGAGGATGAACTCATTATACAGGCCTGGGATGAGGGCGCTGTCAGAGCTTTAAGAACTCAGGGCACAAGGTGTGGTGGTCTGTCTGGCAGGGCAGTCAGGGAGGGCTTCCTGGAAGAAGAAGGCCTTTGGTTTTACTCTAGACAGAGTTAGATGTCATTCATTAATTGAAGTCTGCCAGAATGGGAGCACCCAGGTGCAAGAGGCCACACTGTCTCACCCACCTGTGGGCACAGGTGCACGGTATTAGCGCGTAATAGCTGATCAATAATGATGCGTCAGGCATTGCTGCAGATACCACCCGGCAGCATCTCAGGCAGTGGAGTCACAGGGATGAACATAAAACCCCCAGTTCCTACCCTTGTGGAGCTCAAGGCCGTGGAGGAGACGGGCAAGAGAAATGGGATTCTTGTATTGGGGATGAGTAGACATTGGATCTCAGCTTGGGGGCTCTCCCGGGAAGACTGCCAGGGTGTACCTGTGTGTCCCCTGTGCCTAGCCTTGGACTTGACACTTAAAATTCATGTTTACTGGGTGCACGATACTGGGGGGCAGGAAGGAAGAGGGATGCTGCCGTTAGCTGACACACGCTAACTCTCAACTAGTCCCCCATTCCCTGAATCTCAGGCTCCCCGCCAAAGCAGGCTGACCTGCTCCCTGTCACCCTGCTCCCGGTTAGGTCTTTCTGGAAGACTGGATCTCGCTTCTCTTTGCCCCCACCCCCACCAACTGGCAGATTGCTGGTTCCCTCACCTTCTTACTCAGGGCCTTCGTATATGCTGACCCTCCTGCCTGTAACACATTTCCTTGCACCCAGCGGTAGCACATGGCGCCCCACTGACACAGTGTGGTTCGCAGATGTGTTTTCCCTGGGCCACACGGTGCTTTCAGAAAATTTTGGATTCAATATCAACATTTAACAGTTGGGAGATTTCACAGGAAATGCTGGGTTTCCAGCTTCTCTTGAAAAGTCGTAAGATGCTTTAGTCTTCCCATGCGGCCACAGTTGGCCGCAGTTGAGTGGCTGCCGTCTTCAGAAACGCTGGCTGGTTCAGCAGAGTTTCCACCTGGCCCATTTTACTCATTTAGGAGAGTTTAAGGTCCCTGCATCAGAGGTGAATCTTGTCTGGTTTTGTAGGCTGGATCCCAGCTTAGGACTCAACATGATTTGAAAGTTACCGACTAAATCCAGAAGACCCCTGAATGAACCCCTTGCCAGATGGACCCGGCTGAGGCCCAGAGAGGGACAGCAGTTTGCCCAAATTTGCCCAGTAAATTGATCCTCAAAAAGGCTCAAGACTCAGCTCAGGGCAGAAACCTGGGTCACAGTTGCTGTCCTCTGGGCTGCATTTTTCTGCCCTTGCAGCTGCTGTGGGCAACTTCCTGTCCCCCTGTTTGGACCTGCTGTGGTCCCTGTTGGGACCCCCCCACAGGGCTGCCGGTCCGTGCCAGAGGTGGCCCCCGATGGGACAGCTGGTGGGCAGCCAGAGGCCGAGTCTCCAGCTTCCGAGAGTGGGCATCTGTTCACCTCCCCCAGCTGCCGGCAGCTTTCCTTCTGCCTCTGATTTTTGGGACTTCAAGAATAGACCTGGGGGAGGACAGCACCATCTCTTCCCCACTCGGGGCTCCCGCTCCACAGAATAGATCCATTTCTTCTACGCCCCCCACCCCCGGCTCTCACTGGGGTTCCCTGAATGCCTCGGCACACACTGCTACCTACACACAGGGCAGGTCTTTGCTCAGCCAAACACTGCAAAGCTAAAAATAGCCCTGCCCGCCTCTGGCCCTGTAATTGGAGGCAGGACAGCTGGTTTTGATAAGCTCCCCACTCTGGCCAGCTGCCACCCGCTTTCATTGAGAACAGAATGACCACATCCCCAGCTCTCCCCTGGCCCGCTGACTTCCAGTGAGTTGAGCTCTGCACGGAGCCCAAACTCTACTCCGAGAACCAGGACGTGGGCTCTGGCTGAGCCTCTGCCCCTCTGGGTAGTCACGTTGGATTTGCCTCATTTCCTCTGGGCTTTTGAGCACTTCTTTCTTACTGAGACCTTCCTGCTTACCCCAGAACATTCCTTCTTGTTTGATGGTTCATTCCTTTATTTGTTCAAAAGATTATTGAGCCTTGCTGTGCTTTGGACCATCTTCCAGGTGCGGGGGGTGTAGAGCTGTGAATCAGACAAAGCTCCCCATCAGCATGGAGGTGGCATTCTGGTTCAGGGAGATGGTTGATAAACACATAAATAAATCTGTAAATAGTATAATACAAATCCAGTGATAAGTGCTAAAAAGGAAGTAAAACGGAAAGATGGGGATGGTTTGTGTGGGTGTGGGGTGTCTTGATGAGGTGGTCAGGGAAGACTTCTCCGAGGAGGTGATATTTGAGCTGAGACCTAAAGATGAAAGAGAAAGGCTTTGTGAAGAGCTGGGGAAGGGTGTTTCTAGGCAGTGGGAACAGCAAGTGCAAAGGCCCTGAGGCAGGCAGGAGTCTGGCAGTTTTTTTTAAGCAGGGGAAGATGGTGGGTGAGACTAAAGCAGAATAAGTGAAAGGTATAGGAGATGAGGAAGAGGCAGTTCATCATGTCAGGGCCTTGCCATCATGTGGGCAGAGTTTGGATGTTTTTCTGAGAGTAACCAGGAAGCCCGCCGGAGGGTTTTAAGTGGGAGAATGAGATGACTTGATCACCCTTAGCTCTTCTGACTCTCCACAATCATCTTTCTGGGTCCTTATTTCTTCCTGCTTATTGGTTTCTTCATTCCTTCTGTCTGTTCATCCAGCCAGCCAGCCATCATCCATCTCCCCACTCATCTACCCAGTATTCTCTCCACTTATCACCCACCCATCTGTTCCCCTCCCCACCCACCTACCCACTAATTTTCCCAGCCACCTAGTCATTTATCTGTCTGTCAGATCATCCAGTCATCTGCTCACTTTTCATTCATGTATCCACTCATGTGTCCATCCCCTCTCTTTGTCTCTCTCATCCATCCTCCCATCCATCCATCCATCCATCCATCCATCCATCCATCCATCCATCCAGTGAGCCTGAGGCGGGGCCTGGGTCTGCTCACACCCACCTCTCTGCCATCGGTCTTGGGGAAAAGCACTGGCCTCAGCACGACCCCCAGGCCTGTGGTGCCCTAAGGTCTGCTTTCCTGTGGGCAGTTCTGGCTGTCACTCCTGGGTGTCGGGGGGGCCAGGCCAGTTCAGTGCTGGCCCCTGTGGCCTCAGGACTGGGGAGATCCTCTCAACCGCATGTTATGTTCCTGGCAGTGAGTTTGTTGCCTGGCTCCTGGAAATTGGCGAAATCAGCAAGACGGAAGAAGGCGTGAACCTGGGCCAAGCCTTGCTGGAGAATGGTATCATCCACCATGGTGAGTGCAGGCTAGGTCTGGGGGGCCGAACAGTAGGACCAGGTCAGAGCTCAACAGTGCTGTGCTTCCACTAACTCAGAGGCCATTTCTACACTTCTGTGTGGCCAGCTGTTCCTTCATGGTTTGAAGGAAGAGCCTACAGGATCAGCTAATGGATCCAAAGTGGGGAGTGAGACAGGGAAGCGCTAGGGGCGACTCGGGGCTGTTGTGTAGAGATGGGTTCATAAATCTTGACGGTGGGGTCTCACACCCCAGCCTGCTTCGTGATCTAGCTCTAGGGAGATGCTGGGCAGGTGGGCCTCAGGGCAGACTGGAGCGGGCATTTCTGGGCCTCTCATGAGACCGGCAAATGCCCCAGCCCCCAGCTGTGGGTCTCAGCGGGCCCTGCACGTAGCCGGAGGACCTGGAGTGTGGGCAGGGGCTTTGGAGAAATTGTGCTTGGCATGGAGCCTGGCCGAGTGGAGGGTGAGGATGGTGGGCGTGGGTCAGGAGGGGCCGAGGGGGCGCCCAGCCTCACCAGCCCTGGGGTCCCTCCAGTCTCTGACAAGCACCAGTTCAAGAACGAGCAGGTGATGTACCGCTTCCGCTACGACGACGGTACCTACAAGGCCAGGAGTGAACTGGAGGACATCATGTCCAAGGTGGGAACCCCTCCATCCTGACCCCATGACCTTGACCCCACAGTCACCACAGAGCAGGCCTCTGCCCCAGTGGCCTGTTCTCCACTGCCCTCACCAGTCTCCCCTCTCCCCCCATCCTCTCTCCCAGCAGCCTGGATTTGGAGGCCCCTGAAGGATGTGGCCTGATCACAGACTCCCGTTTTTTCTCTTTCAGGGTGTGAGGCTTTACTGCCGTCTTCACAGCCTCTACACCCCTGTGATCAAGTAAGTTACTCTCTCCAAGCTTCAGTTTCACCTCTGTCTCTTCTCAGCTGTGTGGCTTTAGGCCAATAACTTAACCTGTCTGAGCCTCAGTCTCCTTCTCCATCAAATGGGGCTAATAACTGTACCTACCCTGTAGGTTTGTCATGAGGGTCAAGTGAGTAAATTTGTGGGAAACACTGCAGTGTGGTGGTGAAGGGTGTTAGTTCTGGATCTCAGCCTGCTAGTCGGCAGCTGTGTGCTCTTGGGCAGTTATTTAACCTGCTGGGGCCTCAACTTTTCCCTCTGTGGAATGGGGATAATAATAGGATACACCTCAGGGCCTTTGCACTTGCTGTTTCCTCTGCCTGGGGTGTTTTTCCCCTACATATCTGCATATCTGCTTCCTTACTTACTTCAAATGTCTCCAAGTCAGAGGGGCCCTCCCTGACCATGTGCCTAAAACATCACCATCTGGAACACGCTACCCTCCTTACTTCACTTTGGTTTTCTTCTTGAAGCTTGTCAGTAGCTGACATACTATATATTTATTTCTTAGTCTGTATACTGTCTGTACCCCAGGGAATTGTACACTCACCAAGGGCAGGGAATTTGCTCACTGCTCTGTCCCCAGACCCTTGACAACACCTAGAGCGGTGCTGGCCAGTAGAACTTCCCGCACTGATAGAGATGCTCTGTGCCTGTGCTGTCCAATGCAGTAGCCACTAGTCACACGTGGGTTTCACACTCTTGAGACTGAAGAGTGTAATCTTAACTCTGATTTAACATTAATTGGTTGAAAAACCGCCATGTACTGGAGAACGCAGTCCAGGGCAAAGGAGCCCTCAGTAAATGCTTGTTGAGTGATTGTTGAAAGGTAATTAACTTCTTTTGCCTCTGTTTCTGCATCTGTGAAATGGGCATAAGAATAGCTCACACCCCTTGGCTGATCATGAAGATTAAATTTGACTGGCGCCTGCCACACAGTGAAGGCTCTGTCAGTGCCAGTGATTGGTGGTTGTCTTTACCGTGAAGCTTGTGGCTGTGGACAAAGGCACAGGGAGGGTGACCTGGTCCTTACCAGCTGCAGAGGCCTCTGTGCTCTGTCTTGACAGCTCTTGCCACCTCTCAGGAGCGGAGAAGAAGGGTCTTTTCCCAGCATTCGCTGGAGGCCAGGCCCAGGGAGCCCCTTTCACCTCCAGACCTGCCCCACTGGCTCCTCCCCTGCTGCCTTTGTGCAGGCCCAGGAGGCAGGCGGGGCCGCCCCGGTCCAGCCTTGGCCCTTGCCGGAGAGGCCTCTCTATCGGCCCCCAGAGGAGGAAGTGGCTGGGCTGGCAGCGGGTCCCCAGTTACCGCGCACGTGACCTGCTGGGCTCCTCAGTTCCTGAAAGCCTGAGAAGAACTCCCCAACCGGCCTTTCTCAGCCCCGACAGGGGCTCCCCAACCGGCCTTTCTCAGCCCCGACAGGGGCCGGCCGCAGAAACTCACTCTCGTCAGCTTCAAAGGCTGAGAAATTGTTGCAGTTTGGCGGCAAGGTCCGCACAACCCTTTGTACCAAGACTTGGCAGGAATTAGATGCTACAACAGGTCAAAGCAAAGAACCAGGACCGTGACAGCCCCCTGCCTTCTGCTCTGTCCTGACTGCCCACACCAGCCCACGGAGAAGCATTTCCATGTCGGTATTGTTTTGTTACCCTTAGACACACGAATGTTAACAGCAAAACAAAAGGAAAGAATTGCAAGTTGTTCTCATTACTCAGAGTAAATCAGGGTTCTGTAGGCTCAGCGTTTTTGACGTTTTGGTCTGGATAATTGTTTGGGGGCTGTTCTGGGCAGTTTTGAATGTTTAACAGCATCCTGGTGTCTATCTGCTGGTTGCTGGTAGTACCTCCGCACTCCACCCCCCAGCCAGGTCATGGCAGCCAAAAATGTCACTAGACACAGCCAAGTGTTCTTTGGGGGGCATAGCCATCCCTGCTTGAGAGCCCCAGGCTGGGGAAAGCTTCCAGAGCCTTAGAGCCACCTACTCCTGCCCCTTGATGCTGTTGGTGAGGATGGGGTCCTGGGTTGGGACAGACCTGCCCTCGGTGACACTTAGAGTGAGGTGTGGAGTCAGGGCTGGACTCCCTGCCTGCTGCTCTCCCCGGCCCCCCTGCCTCTGACCCGTGGCTGGAGAGCCTGGAAATCCTCGGACCCCGAGCTCTTTGACTAGGGACATTGGGACTATTTCCCCTCCCTCCTCCCTGATCTGCTCACGGCCTGCTTCCTCTCCACAGGGACCGCGATTACCACCTGAAGACGTACAAGTCGGTGCTGCCCGGGAGCAAGCTGGTGGACTGGCTGCTGGCCCAGGTGAGAGCTCCTCTGAGCAAATGTGACCCGTCGTCCCCCTCTGCCCAGGCCTGAGGGGCTAACCAGGATGTTGGCCTTTGAGGTTTAAAAAAATTGTTTTTTAATTACTTTTTTAATTGCGGTAAAATACACATAATAGAACATTGATCATCTTAACCATTTTTAAGTGTACAGTCCAGTGGCCCTAAGTCCATTTCCATTATTACGCAGCCATCACCCCCATGCACTTCCAGAGCTCTTTCCATCTTGCAGAACTGAAACTCTGTCCCCATTAAATAGTAACTTCCCATTCCTCCCTCCCCCCGGCCCCTGGCAGCCGTCCTTCCACTTTTTCTCTCTGAGTTGGCCGGCTGTAGGTGCCCTGTGTAGGTGGAATCATGCAGTGTTTGTACTTCTGTGTCTGGCTTGTTTCACTCAGTATAATGTCTTCAGGGTTCATCCATGTTGTAGTCTATATCAGAATTTCCTTCCTTTTAAAGGCTGAATAATATTCTCTTTTGAGGATAGAGCACATTTTATTTATCTATCAGTTAAGGGACACTTGGGTGGCTGCCACCTTGAGGCTTTCCTTTTTAAAAGTGGGACGGTCCCGGGCAAACAGGGACAAGTTGGTCTCATCCTGCCATCAAACCGGAGCCTCCATATAGGGCTTGCCAAGTTATTCCCTTATCCTAGGCTCCCAGTGAGTGGGGGCCGGGCAGAGTCTTGGAAAAATCTCTGTGCTGACTTCGCTGCAACTTCCCAAAGGTGATTGTTCCGTCGAGGTGCCATGGACACTCTTACCTACCTGCCTCTTATACCTTATGGCTTCTGTTTGCAGGGCACTTACTCTGGGCCAGGCCCTGTCTGGACTTTGTGCAGCATCTCACTGAGTCCTCCAACCCATTTCCAGACAGGGAACTGGGGCCCAGAGAGGCCAAGTGCCTGGTTCAAGGGCACACAGCCTGGCAGCAGTAAAGCTGGGAATCGGATGGGTGCATCGTACGTACTTAGGCCTCATTTCTGCAAACTTTTCAGGGAGCCTGCAAGAATGTTCATTCATAGTCTATAAGAAGAACGTAATGTCTCCAAAGACAAGAAGACAACTGTGAAATCTGAATGTTTAAACTTTCATGGAGTGCAGCTTTATGGCAGCCTTATTAACTGTTAAGTTTAGCATTCATAGAAACTTCATTCCATTCAAAAACAATTTGTTGCCTGGATTTTCTCATGTCGAACAAATTCCTGATGATTGCCTAGAGATCATAGCCAATCTATGTAAAGTAAATGCTTCTTGGCGTCAAATAACTTCAAAATCAAGTTTAGAAAAATTCTTGAAAAAAAATTTTCAAGCCCCCAAAACGTATTTAATGTAGGATGTGGGTGCATTTTAATATGTTTGCTATGATGTGGGGCCCTAAGACACGGGAAGTCTTAAAATGACCTTGGATTTGAATTCAGATTTGCACAGCTGGGAAGCACACAGGTGCTAACCATTGCACTACACCGCACACCGCCCCCTCCTTAGGATCCCCTGAAGCCAGCTCAGAGCATGTGCTTTATTTATAGCCAGGCAGGCCTGGGTTCAAATCTCAGCACTGCCACTTCTCAGCTGAGCGATCTTGGACAAGCCGCTTAACCTCTCTGTGCCTCACTTCCCACACCAGTAAAATGAAGCTCAAAACAATACCTTCCCGTTTAGATTATTTTGAGGCTTCAGTGAGTTAATCACCTAAAGTGCTTATTAGAACAGTGCCTGGTACAGAGTAGTTGCTTAGTAAATGGAACTGTTACTATAATAATTCCTCATCTCCTTCCCAAAGGATTCAGGGTGCCTCAAAATTCCACGCAGCGTGGAAGGAAGGCTGAAGAGATTACAGAGGGACTTGGGGGTGCAGGAACAGACGGCTGGGGAGAGCCGAGGGGCAATCTGTTTGGGGTCCCATCTTCTGAGTGGGCTGTGACGGGGGTGGGGGTGATTTATCTTGTGGTTTAGGTTCTTCGTTCAGACCCCAGACATGCCGGGGTGTAGGGCTCTCTGAAACGCTGCTTCTCCCCACCTTGGACCTTTGTGGCCTCATGTTTCCTGAGCTCCACGGCTGACTGTTGGTTTCAAAGCACGATGTGGACTTTGCCTTAAGTGGCGAATCCCAGGCCTGAGCTGGGAGTGGGGTGGGTTACCGAGCTGATGAGAAGTCAGTGAACCTGGGAAATATCTGGAGATGGAACCACAGGATGCACCGCTCTGGGGCTGGGAAGGGGTCACGGATGGGTCCTGGGGTTTTGGCACGGTGGGTTTTCCCGTCGTTCACAGTGATGGGAAGCCGGTGGGGGGGGGGAGAAGTTGAGCATTCTCCTTGGCCGTGGAAAGGCGCTGCCTTTGGGGTGCCCACTGTACTCCCTAGTGGAGTGGAGGAGGTGGGCGGGGGAGGGGCAGGCTTTGCACACCTGCTGCTCAGGAGGCATCTCTACCGCAGATACTCTGTTCGTTGTCAGCTCCTGGGTGGTATTTACAATGAGGGGGCAGAAAAGAGTGTAGAAAAATCCGACAAGAGGGCTCATGGGCTCATCCCTTTTTTCCTCCTAACACCTGCTGTGTATAAGGCACTGTTTTAGGTTCTGGGGGGACAGCAGTGGACAAGACAGACAACGCTCCCGCCCTCGTGGATGTTAAATTCTGGTGAGGGGTAGGAGAGGCGTTTAATAAACAAGGAAAAGTAGTAAAATACTTTGTTAGCTGGTGCTAGGTGCCAGCTCGGTGGGAGCTACTGGCGGGAGTCGACCTTTCACGTGGGTGGGTGGGGATGTGGTTGTTCACAGGCGGCAGAGAAGGTGGTGCTTTGAGCAGGGACCTTTGAATAGAGACCGGAGGGAGGTGGGGAACGAGCCAGGGGCCATCTGGGGCCGGAGCTTTCTCTGAGCGGACAGCAGCTCGGAGGCTCTGAGTGGGATGAGCTTGGAGGGTCTGGGGGTGGGGAGAGGCCAGTGTGGCTGGAATGGCGTGAGCGAGAGGGAGGGTGATGGGGAAGCTGGTGGGCAGCCAGCCCCAAGGGACCTTGTGAGCTCTTGGGAGGATTTGGGCCACTGCAGGGCTCTGAGCACAGATGGGACAGCATCTGACTTCGGTGGGATAAGATGCTCGGGCTGTCGGGGGACGAGGTTGGCAATCGGGAGACCAGTGAGGAGGCGGCTTCAGAACTGCAGGTGGGGAGCGTGGTGGCTGAGAACCGGGTGGCCGCGGGGGAGGGGACAAGAGTGGTCAGGTTTGGGATTCTTTGAAGGGAACCCTAACAGAGTCTGCTGTTGAATGGACGGAGTGGGCGGCAGTGGTGAGAGACACAGGAGTCTTGAATGACTGCAAGGCCCTTGGCTGAGCTGGGAGGCTCAAGAATGCGCCCTGGAGCACCCCGGCAAGGAGGAGAACCGGCCAGAGCAGCGGCCTCTGTTCGTTTCTCTTTATGATCGGTGTTGGGCACGGCAGGGGCCTGCTTGTGGCCCGTGCTGTCAGATTAGCTGTGATCCTGGCCGAAGGCCCCGTGGAGTAGCCTGAGTCATTGTCAGTTGGTCCAGAGGACCCCCCTCCCCGCCCCCTGCCGCCATCCCCCAGCATACAGTCGCAGTGGAGGCAGGGGGCGGACGGTGGAGTGAAGGTTGCAGCTGACCCTCTGTCCACTTCAGCAGGCCTCGCATGGCTTGGCCTGGTCTGGGGACACAGGGAAGCTAATTGGAGTTGACATAGGATGGCTTCCATGCGATTGACCGAACGACAGCTGGCATCTGGCTCCGGGTCAGGGAAAGGGGGGGACGGTGTGCGTGTGGGTCTCTCTGTGGGGGAGAGGTTGGTGACGAGGATGTGGCCTTGAAGACTGCTTACAGCAGGTCTTGATTTCAAGAGTCATCCCCACCTGCACTTTAGCAGGCAAGTCAAGAAGAAAACATATAATTGTGTAGTTCAGCAGGGTTATTTTGCTTTGAACACATGTTCATTTCTAACTCTAGGTCATTCTGCTCCTTGAAACAAAATGTTGATTGAAACCCCTTAGATCAGCTAGAAATACTTTTGGCTGCACATAGTAGGAAACCTGACTTACACAGTCAAGACATTTTTCTCTCACATAATAGGAAATCTAAATTATACAGTAAAGACATTTTTTGCTCATATAACTAGGCGTCCAGAGTTCATGGTCCTAGAGCTCAACAATGCCATTTATACCCATGCTCTTTCCATCATTTTGTTCTGCCATCTTGCCAGCTGCCTCATTGTCATAAGACAGCCGCCACAGCTCCAGGTAACACATCTATGTAGACCTATGGCCAAAGGCAGGCAGCAGGGGCAGTTGGAAAGAGCTTTCTCACTATGTTTATTAGGAGAGGAAACTTCCCCCAGTCCCCTCCCTTGCCCAGTGGTCTTCCCCTTAGGTCTCATGGCCAGGTGGGTCCCTCATGTACCCCTAAACCACTCCCTGGGGAAAACAATAAGGATTACTGAGAGTGCCTTAGAATTCCTCAGAATTCATCCCTTGAGGCTGGGGGAAGGGCTCCCTACCAACTACTCAGATGAACGAGAGTTCTTTTAGCTCAGAGGATAAGGAGGGTATTAGTCATTTGATTGACAAGCTATGTACTGTATCACTTCTGATCTTCTGTGTGTATTATCTCATTTAATCTTCAGAAAACAGTTGTTGTCCCCATCGTACTGATGAGGAAACTGAGGCTCAGATTATGTAACTTGCCTCAGGATACACAGAAACGAGGTACTCCTATAAGATTGTGTGTGGTCGGGGGCCTTCATGACGCCTTGGTAGTCAATAATAATAGAAATTGTAATAATAATCCTCTGTATTGATTATAGCTTGTACTGTGGAGTCTGAGTGGGGAATACCACTGAGAGGTGGCAGAGGGCTTGGAAAGTCAAGGGCAAATCTGGGGATAAAAAGTACAAGTGAGGAAATGAAAGTCAGAGAGGTTAAGGAATTTCCCACGGTCACGGTTGGCCAAACAGGGGTTTGAACCCGGGGGATCCAGCTCCAGGGTTTGCTCTCCTCACCTCTTTGCTCATGTTTTTTTGGTCTGTCCTGCCTGGGCTCCAGGATGCCCTAGGCTGTGGCCGTCAAAAGGAGGGCGGGGGTCGGTGGGCTGGGGCAGGAGAGAGCAGGGACAGGCCAGGAGCCAGGTGCGGGAGGGCTCATATCTGCTGGCTCCTGTTCCGGCTCTGCAGAAATGTGCCCTGAGCGCCCGCTACGCTGACCTCCATGCTCGGGCAGATGGCAGTGCTGACGGCGGCGGGGTTTCTAGCCTCTGGGGTGGGGTGGCAAGGCTGGGGTGGGCGAGCAGGCAAAGGGCCAGGCCGGCAGCTCAAGGCACCAGCAGAGGCAACAAAGGATAAACAAGGACAGGACAGGAGCCCTGGCCGTAACGCTGGGTAACTCTCCTCCCCTCTTGGAGCCTCAGTTTCCCTATTTGTAACTTGGAGGGAAGGTCCAGCTGTAAAAGGATTCCATTCTCATGCTGTAAACTTGGGCAAGTGCCAAGCCTGTCTGTGCCTCAATTTCTTCATCTGTCAAATGGGGTTAATAAGAGCGATTGCCTCTGGGTTGACCATCTAGGTAGTTAGGAGGAGCTGACATGGGCACTGAGACCTGAAAAGCCAGGGCAGGGCATTCCAGGGGGAGGAAGGATAGGTGCAAAGGCCCTGAGGTGGGGTCACATGTCGTGTGTGGAAGCAGCAGCAAGGAGGCCGTCGCGGATGGAGCCCCCAGTGAGGGGGGCTGGTGGGTGAGTGGGGGATGAAGGGGAAGTGTGCTGCTGAGGTTGATTGCACAGGGCCGTGTGTGCCTGTGCCTTCCTCTGGGAGGGGAGAAGATGGGGACTGGATGACTTTCGGTTTCCCCATGGCTGGCAGGATGTGGGGTGGGGGCTTGCTTTTCAGGCGGTGGACGCACCCAGCGTTGGCATATTTCACTCTTGACCAGAGAATCCCTGTGCTGTTCTCACTTTGGAAGCCACCCCATGGGTCACCCCAGGGCCCTTTGGAGAGAAGAGAGGCCGGGACGGGCTGGGATGGGCTGGGAGCCCAGGTTGTGAGAGCTTCGGAAAGCTAGGTGGGCTCCAGACGCCTGCCCGGGCCCCCTGGGCTGCAGGGCTGGGCCTGCCCGCCTCCTGGGCCCCTCACGGCTGGGGGCGGCTGCTCCGGATGTGGCCTCTTGCATGGATGGCCGCCCTGCTGGCAGGGCTGTGAGCCTGCTGGCTCTCCAGCCGCTGGCCCGCGGTCCCACAGGACAGATTTGTCATCTCTGAGTCAGCCTGGGGCAGCTAGAGCAGCTGAGGCCAGTGGCTCCCCCAGGCTCTGCTCTGGGGCCTTGGCAGGCTAAGGCCTGCAGCTCTGAATTCATTTCTCCTGTAGCTGAGGAATTCCCTCCCTGGCCCCTCCACTGCTGGCAGGGGCCTGGGGGGGATACACCAACAGTGGAGGCCTCTGGCCTGGCTCTGTCGGGCCAGTGCCTCTTGGAATAACTTCTCACTTGGGCAGTATTTTAAACGAGAGGCCGGCTGAGCGGAGCGAAGCTCATTGACCTGGCTACAGACTAATGCATGAGTTAGTCCCTGCTGACAATGTCTTTATTCAATCAGCAAGTATGTACTGAGCACCTACTGCATGCCAGGCTCTGTTCTAAGCACTTAGGATTCAGCAGGGAACACAGTAGATCAAAGGCCTTTTCCTTAGAGCTGACCTTCTCACTCACCCTGCTTTCGCCGGCCATGTTATTTTCTGTACTCTAAGCTTTGTCCACCTCTGGACCTCTGTCCGTGCTGTTTCCTTGGCCTGTCACTTCCCCTACGTACACACACAGCTCACATACTTTGCCTGGATATACTGAGATGATTTGGGTTGCAAGAAACAGAAACAGTATCTGGCTAACTTAAGGAAAGTAAAAAAGAGAAGGTGACTTATTGAGAAGTCCACAGAGCACCCACAGAGTCAGGGGGAGACCCAGGAGCCAGGTCCTAGGAGGAACTGGCACCAGGAGACTCCCAGCTTCTCGGGAGCAGGCGCGGAGGGGCACCGTCTCCAGGGCACACTCTCGGGGAGAATTGGCACCAGCTGTTCCCTGACCTTGGGTTCCTCTGCTCAGGGAGGAGCCAGGTCAGTTAGGAGTTGAACTTGATTTCTAGTATCAGAGAGCCAACTACAGAGGCTGAAACAAATTAGGGGTTTATTTTTCTTCGGTATGAGAGAAGCCCGGAGGTTGGTGGTCCAGAGCTGCTAGTACAATCTCATGATATCTTTGAAGACCACGCCTGCTCTTTCTTTTTGCTCTGCCATCCTTAGTATGTTTCTATTTTTGAGGTCACATTGTGCTCTAGGGTGACTGCAGGAGCTCCAGCCATCGCACCTTTGTTCCAGGCAGGAGGAAGAGAAAGGAAGGACTGGGGACAAAGAGTGTTTTGCCAGAGCTCCCTATCAGTGGTTTCTGCTCATATCTCATTGGCCACCTCTAGCTGTAATGGAGGCTGGGATCTGTGGTTGTCTAGGTAGATGAATTGCTGTCTGTAAGAGTGAGGGTTTCAGTACTAGGGCGGGATGGGGCCGGGGAGGGTTGTTGCTGGGCAGCCAGCAGTGTCTGCCACATAAAATCGCCATTTCTCGTTTGTGGTGTTTATGGCACACCATGCATTTCTCACATGTAAATAATTAACATGCAATTAAATACTTCTCTTGTTTGGTGTTTATTAATAACAGTCACAGACATGGTTGGGGGATACCACAGTAAACAAGACAGACACACATCCCTGCCCTTGTGGAGTCTCCGTTCCCGGTGGTGGTGGGCTTTTTCCCAGCCTGGCTCAGCCCCTTGGCTCAGCGGGTCCACCTAACACCCTCTGCTTCTTGTTCTGTTCCAGGGCGATTGCCAGACACGCGAGGAGGCGGTGGCGCTTGGTGTGGGCCTGTGTAACAATGGCTTCATGCACCACGGTAATCTGCCCCTTCCCCTTCAGCCCAGCCTCCCTGGGGTGGGGTGGGGGTCCTGTCCTGGAACAGAAGAGCTGGCAGGGACCCTGGTCCCTGGTGCATTTTATGGCGGGGGGAAACTGAGGCCCAGAGAGAGCAAGTGGTGGGCTGGCGGCTGCCCAGCGTGCCCGTGGGTGAGCCCGGGCTGGATGCCGAGTGGGTCTGTGCTGCCCTTCCCCACCCCACCCGCCCCGTTCTTCACTGATGGGGACATCACTTCAGGTGGCCAGTGGGGACCAAGGCGGCTGGTAAAGATTGTCTGCAAAACACAGACCGGATGTGAGGTCAAATCCATGGGCTTCCTAAGCCCTTCCTCCCTCATGGGATGTGGCCTCCCAGGGTAGGCAGTGAGGGTGGACGACGTGGACCTGGCCCACGGGCATCCGGAGAGGAGAGGAGAGGAGAGGAGAAGGGTCCGTGGGGACAGAGGACGGGCAGGTTGTGAGCATGAGAGAAAGGAGGCCAGGCGGGGCCTTGCCCCTCAGATGCCTCACTCCTCCCCACACAGGGAGAAGCACCTAAGAGGGAGAGAGGCGGACGGTCTGAGATGGTCCTGGGCCAGGAAGCTGGGGAGAGGGAGGGAGAAAATGGTTCCATTGACACCATTTTCAGTTAACACAGAAGTGATACTCTGCATGCCCAGCCTCCTCCTAAGAATTCTCCATGTAGTAATAAGTTTCGTCCTTGGGGCGATCGATCCTTTGATGTTGGTATGAATGTCATCCCCGTCTGTAAACGAGGAATGGAAGCTCAGGCAGCTGGGACACTTGCTCAAGGTCACCTGACAAGGAGGGGCTGGGATTTGAACCCAGGCAGGCTGGCGTCGCAGGACACATGTCAACCACTGAGCTCTGTGGCCTGTCCTTGTGGCCCTTGGGGAGCCCTGAGGCTCCCACCCTTTTGGGACGAGTGGACTTTGAACCTCCACTGAGGAGCCTTTCTCCTGTTTCCAGAACACTCCCCAGGGCCTTGTCACTTGCAGTTTCTCTCGCCCGGGTGTCCCTCCCTCCCGGCCTCACCCCCTCACTTCTTCAGTGTTTCTGCTCAATTCGTGCCTCCCCAGCGAGGTCACCTGGCCACCTGCTAGGATGGCTCCTCTCTTTCCTCACCCCCTGGACCAGCTCAGATTCGCTTTTCTCCCTGGAGCTGCTCTGTCCCTGCGAGGCTGATTCCACACCTCCCCTCCGTCTTTGCTCATCCTGCTGTCTTCCAGAGGCCGCCTCCTGCGTGCAGGCACTGTGCTAGGCTCTGGGGACCGGGGTGAGCACGATGGATGCAAGTCTCGCCCTCGTGTGCCCGTACGCGTGTGTGCGCGTGTGCGAATCACACGACAGTAAATAAGTACATTTTCTGGACTCTTGTGAGTGTGTGAGGAGGACTTGGGCTCTTACTCTAGTGAGCTAGGCGTCCCGGAGGCTTCTGAGCGGGGGAAGGACGTGCCTGGCTGGGCTTCTGCAGGTCCCCTCTGGCTGCCCGCGGAGAGTGTCTGTGAGGGTGGGGCGGAAGCAGGGAGGCCAGGGAGGAGGCGGCTGTCATAGTCCAGAGGAGGGACCACGCTGCTTGGATGCACGTGGTGGCAGCGGGGGCCTGAGACTCGGGAAGGGCTTCTGGCCATTCCTCCTCCCAGCGTCTGCTCTGTGCTCCAGCTCAGGGGTTGGCAGACTCTGTCTGCAGAGGGTCAGACAGTAAATATCTTCGTCCTTGGAGGCCACACGGTCTCTGTCACAGCCCAGCTCTGCCCCTGTAGCCTAAAAGCAGCTGCAGGGGGATGTGTAAACAAGTGGGTGTGGCTCTGAGCCAGTAAAACTTCATTTAGCAAAACAAGCTTTCTACCCCTGGTCTAGCTGCTGGATTTACTCTCCCTTCAGCAGGGAGAGAGAGGCGCCCCTGGGGTGACAGGTCATCGGATTTGCCCCCTGCCTCGTAGCTGGCAGGCCCGGTTTTGGGCCTGACTCGGCGGACTGCCGGCAAAGCCCTGCTCCTCCCCGGCCTCAGTTTCCCCATCTTTCCCTTCCCATCTGAGCTCAGCGTGGCCACGGCTCTGTGGGGTTGGGACTCACTCTGGGGCAGGTCGGGAGCCCGGCAGCCTCGGTCATTCCCGAAAGCTGCTCTGTTCCCTGCGGGGGCCCTCGCAGCTCCATTTCCCGCCCCCCCCGTCAGCTGGGCAGAGCCTCTCATTTGTGGGTGAGAGTAATTAGGGGTCCACCCCAGCTGCTATTTTGGGAAGGCGGCTAGCTGAGGACGTTGTGGAGGGGGTGATCCCAGGCAACAGCAACACCCTCAGGGTCGCTCAGGGAGAGAAATTGCAGGGCGCGGTCCTTGCTCCCTTGTTCCTGCCACGAACTCAAAAATAGGCTGAAAGAGGAAAGGGCCAGATCCGAGGGTTGTGGCCGCTGCAGAACGCAGGCTAGGGTGCAGGGTGGGGCGTGGGGCAGGGCCCGTGTGGCGCCTCCCGTGGTGTCCGACCCAAGCTCCCAGGGCTCTGAGGTGTCCCCGGGGAGGGACCCAGAGGCCAGCGGTCCAGTGCCTTGGGCACATACAGGGAAACTGAGGCTCCCCATTTAATCCTCGCAGCCACCCCGGGAAGTTGGTGCTGTTATTATCCCCACAGATGAGGAACCTGAGGCTCAGAGAGGCTAAACGGCCGTGAAGTTGGGAGGGGCCGGGCAGGGATTTGAACGTGGATCTGTGCCCGTCTCATGAAGCCTGGCCAGTGGCCTCGACTGGAAGTTGGGAGTGGTTGGCTCTCACCTGGCTGAGCTCCCGGACTCCGGGATTCCAGATGTTTCCCCACATATTTCAGCCGAGACACGAGACACAACACGGTGCTTCCTCTTCCCACTCCCTGAGTCTTTTAGCCTCGTGTTTACAGTGGAGGGGAAGCCAGCCGGCCTCCTGGGGCCTGGCTCCCAGCTCTGGGGAGAGCAGCAATTTGTGTGTCTGTTGTCTCCAAGGAGGTGATAGAGGTGGCCTGAGAATGGTGCTCACAAACAGCGAGCTGTCCTGGGAAAGGAAGGAGACAGGAAGGAAGGGCTCCTGATGCTTTCCATGTCACCAAAGGTCTTCGGGGATGGCGGGGACGTCGCGAAGCTAAGGCAGCTGCTTGTTCTTCTTTCAGGGGCTTGCTGACTTCAGACGACTGCCTCGATTTCTCCCCTTTATTTAATTTGTCCTCGCCCCCATCTATCAGGCCAGGCTGGGCAGTATGGTGAAGAGGAGGAGCCTGGGCTCTGTGACCTTGGGCAGTTTATTTAGCTCCTCTGGGCTTCAGTCTTCCTGTCTTTAAAAAGGGTGCAGCAGGTCCTTCTTTGTCTGCGGAGTAAGTGAACTTAAGCCTGTATCCCCGGCGTGCCCTGCACGAGAAGGTATTTAGTTAAATTGTAATCCACAGGGACCACATCACATGCTGATTGTTACTGGTTCTTTTTATTCATTTTCCTGCGACTTGTCTTAGAACAGAGGTCAGGAGACTTTTTCTGTAAAGGCCCAGATAGTAAATATTTTAGGTTTTGTGGACCATCCAGTCTCTTGCAATTATTTAATTCTGTCATTGTGGCCCCAAAGCATCCCCCAGACGATATGTCAATAAATGGGTGTGGCTGTGTCCCAATAAAACTGTTTCTAAAAAGCAGGAGTGGGCCACATTTGGCCCACAGGGACTGAGTGTGTTAGTCCCTGGTCTAAAGGGTTTCACTGTGGTCTCTTTCTGATTGTCAGTGAGGGTGAGTTCCTTTTCATACAATTGCCGCCCATTTAGATTTTCCCATATGTTAGTTGCCCATTCATATCCTTTGCCCTTTTATCGATGAGTTTCCCAGCTTTCTCTGGTTGATTTGTTGGAGTTTCCTATATATTCTAGGTATTTATTCTTTGTTGGTTTTAGACAGTACAATTAGTTTTGAATCTGCGGCCTGCCTATGGCCTTCCTACTGAATGGAAGAAGTCCTTAATTTTATCATAGTGCTTTTTGGGGGGTCTCGTATATGAACTCCTTTTCTGCTCTAGGACAGAGATGCTCTCCTGCATCTTGTTTGGTGAGCTTTAGCTGTTCTGTGCCTGTGTAGGTCTTTAATCCAAAAGGAGTTTATTGTTATATATGGTATGAGGCAGGGCTCCGGTTTTATTTTTTTTTCCCCGTGAGTCAGTTTTCCCTGTACCATCTGTGGGATACTCCAGTGATCGTTCAGCGTCCATCACATGCTGAGTTCCCATAAGCACAGCGTCCTCTCATGTGATTGCTGTTCTCTTCCACTGGCTTTTAATCTGCTTCTGCTGTGGTTCCACACAGGTTTTGTTACCATGGCTTTGTAATATGCCTTTATAGCAGTGGGGCGAGTTCAGCTTTTTCAAGGGAAGTCAGAGAGCCAGGCTTCTATGTTGAATACCCTAATGTGTTGGCATTGGCACAGGATTTTACTTAATAGAGCCAAACCAAACTTGTCCAGGGGCTGATTCCGGCCCGTGGCTGCCAGTTGGCAGATGCTCCTGAAAGCTTCCCATGTGAGCCTGACCTTGCACTTGCATGTCTGTGGGTTCACAGTGCTGGAGAAGAGTGAGTTCAAGGATGAGTCCCAGTACTTCCGTTTCCACGCAGACGAGGAGATGGAGGGAACCAGCAGCAAGAACAAACAGCTTCGCAGCGACTTCAAGCTGGTGGAGAACATTCTGGCCAAGCGCCTGCTGGTAGGAGCAGAGCTGTGTCGCTGCATCTTCCTTCCCAGACCCGCCTGCAGGCCCGGGAACTGGGCAAACTTCAGGTTATGGCTGGAGAAGTTGAGGTCAACTTGGAGTACCCAAGAGTATGGGGGATTCTAGGTGGTGGCTGGCAACGCTGCCCAGAGGCCAGGTTGCTTTACTGGACAGACTACCCTCTTGACAGATGAGATTGGGCTCGCTGGGCTCCTTTTCTTTTGCTTCCCATCTCCCCTTGTCTGCCCCACACCCCAGCCTAGCCTTGTGCAGGGAGGATGGCCTCCTGAGTCCTGCAGGACTCCTCCTGCACACGAAAATCTTGTGTCTTCTGGGCTGTCACCCTGTCCTTGTTCAGTTGCTGTAAATAGCCTTGCAGTTAAGGTAGAATATTTACCAGCCTGTTCAGATGTTTTACTAGCCTAGCCCACCAAATCCTGTTTCTCTCCCACTGGTGAGCAGCGGCCTCCATCTTAAGGCCTGGCCCACAGCAGGCAACTGGGAGAGAGGCTTGGAGAGGTTAGGTCTCTTGTCATTGCCAGAGTTGAGGCCGAAGTCCACCTGATGGGAAGGCAGCTCCATTAACTTCTTTCCTATAGTACTTATGGGGGCTGCTGTTCCAATTCCCATTTATTGCGCAACAAAGCCCTCCAGTACTCCCAATCACACTTAGGATAAATCCAGTCTCTCACCATGGCCTTCAAGACTCGTCATGCCTCTCCAGCTTCATCTCCTGTGCTCTCCCCTTCTTCATCCCACCCACCCCAGCCACTCCAGCCACCCTGATCTTCTTTCTTATCCTCCAGTACCTTGGAGCCTGACTCAGGGCCTTTGCACATGCTGTGCCCTCCGCCTGAAGCACTTTTCTCCACCCTTTATAAACTTCTGTTCCTCACTTTATTCAGGTCTCAGCTCAGATATCACCTTCTCTGGCCGCGCTGCCACACCACTTCCTGTCCCTTTAAGTCATTTGTTAATTCAAACTACATGCACTCCCTGCACCACATTCTATAGTTCTTTGTTTGTAGTCTGTCTCCCCCAGTAGATAGTCAGCTGCACGAGGGCAGGAACCGTCTGTCTTGTTCAGTGCTGTTTCTGGAACAGTAAAGTACCTGGCCCATATAACAGGCAGCAGCTCAGCACATATTTATTGAACGAATAAATGCATTTCCCTGTATCCCCACCACCACTGACCCCCCCCCCGAACCCACCAACCTGCCTGTCATCCTGTGATGGGGAGGGACGGCTCCTCCCTAAACCCCCTTCCTGTCCCCACGTTCTTGGTGGCCGGATACCTTTGGATCCATTTTATTCATTAAGTCAGTAAGTTGTTATTGAGCACCTACTGTATGCCAGCAGATGGGGAGACAGTGGTGCATAAATAAGGAGGCTCTGTCCTCAGGTTGGGGAGAGGAAGGGGAGACAGGCAATGAAAAGTAAACTAATACGTGTGGTCAGCAGCAGGCTGAAGCATGAGCCCAGTGGCGGGTCTTCACATGACAGATACGTATTGAGCATCTTCTGCGTCCTGGCACCATCCTGCCGCACCCCACCCCCCAGTCTGTACCCTGAGTAGATCTGGGGCACGAAGAGCTGGCAGGATCACGGTTCTCACCATGGGTGCCAAGGTGGGGTTGGCTCCAGGACCCCCTCCCTGCCTCACCATCTCTCCTGCCTCGGACCCTCAGATCCTGCCCCAGGAGGACGACTATGGCTTCGACATCGAGGAGAAGAACAAGGCCGTGGTGGTGAAGTCAGTCCAGAGGGGCTCGCTGGCAGAGGTGAGGCCGCTCAGAGGGGCCGCCCTGGCTCGGGCTGGGTGCGGATGGGAAAGTGGGGCATCTCTCCTCGTTTCTTGAGGCAGGCCGGCTCAGAAAGCCCTGGGATGTCAGTGGTCCCTCCTTGTTCATTGCCCTGGTGGGGAAACCGAGGGTGGGGCAGTCTTGTCTGCAGAACCCACGGCTTGGGGCTGCCCTCCCAGCATGTGCCACCAGCTCCCCCTGCTGGCCGTACGGGGTGGTGCATGAAAACGACCCGAGGGTCTGAATCCGCTCCGATTTTGGAACAAATATCCGGGGTTGCTGTGACATGGATACAAGGTCTGGAGCAGGACAGCCAAGGATTCAGCCCCGGGTCCTCTCAGCTGTTCCCAGGGGGTGTGCAGGTGGGTGGGAGAGAGGCACCTGCCGCTTTGTCCAGGTGCTCTGGTTGCTTCCTCGTAGCGATTAGCAATGTGTACGGCTGCAAGTAGCCACATGCTGGCCTCAGTGGCAGGAACCGCGGGGCTTCATTTTTCTAATAACATAAGCAGTGAGAAGGAGGTGGTTGTGTCTTGGTTCGGGGTCGATGTCTCTTTGACTTTCCTGGCCAAGCCCTCGTGGTCACAAGGTGGCTGCCCCAGGTCCATGCCTTGTGTCCTCACACGGCTGGGCGGGAAGCACTGACAGCTCCTCCTCAGGGGAAAAGCGTCTTTCCCGTTAGCGCCCCCTGTAGGCCTCCCTCCATAGCTCGTTGGCCAGAACGGGTCTCCCCAGCGCCCTAACTGCTTACCACAGAGGGGAGCGGGGCTGCCCTGGGGGGGCTCCCGCTGGTTGTGCTTGGTGCCTGGTGCCGGCTCTGTGCTGCCTGAATGCATTCAAGGCTCCTTAGTGAGGAGGAGAAGGGAGGGGAGGGACCAGTTACCTGGTGTGCTTGTCTCCCGCCCCACCCCCGCCCAGATGGCCGGCCTGCAGGTGGGGAGGAAGATCTTCTCCGTCAACGAGGACCTGGTGTTCCTGCGGCCCTTCGCAGAGGTGGAGTCCATCCTCAGCCAGTCCTTCTGTTCCCGCCACCCGCTGCGTCTCCTGGTAGCCACCAAGGCCAAAGAGTGAGTGTCCCCCCCGGGTGGGGTGTCTGGTGACCTTCCTCTCAGGTTGAGGAGTTGCCCGAGTCCTAGAGGTGTTGCTGGGGGCCCGAGCCGTCCCGATTCCCCGTGCTTCGGGCTCCTTCTGTGGGCACGTGACACAGTGCTGCTGCCTTTGTTCAGTCGACAGATGTTTGAGTGCCTGCTGTGTGCCCACTGGTGTGTCAGGCTCTGAGGATGCAGCCCCGTCTGGATGGATTCATTTCTACCCTCGTAGATCTCAGTCTGTTTGGAGGGTAGAGCAGGAGACAGACAAAAAACAAAGCAGAAAAGTAAGAGACATACTGAGCCAGGTAGCTCAGGTAGTAGTGAGCGTGGACCAATATATAAAGCTGGGACAGGAGATGGGCTGTGTGGAGGGGTGGTGGTCAGGGAGATGCCCCTGAGAACTGAGGTGAAGACCTGAAGGAGGTAAGGGAGCGAGTCAAGGGGACTTCTGGAGGAGGAGGGTTCCAGGCAGAGGAAACAGCGAGTGCAAAGGCCCTGGGGTGGAACTGTGGCTGGTGTGTTTGAAGAACAATGAGGAAGCTGATGGGGCTGGAAGAGAGTGAATGAGAAAGAGGGGTGGATAATGAGGTCAGCCAGGCCCTATAGGGCCTGTGCCCACGGTAAGGACCATGGAGCTACTGGAAGGTTCTGAGCAGAGGGGCGGCATGATCTGATGTAGGTTCTGGCCGAATCTCTCTGGCTGCAGGTGGAGAAGAGATTGTCAGGGGCAGGGGTAGAAGCAGGGGGAGTGGTAAGGAGGCTGGTGGCCCAGCCCCGCGTGGCAATGGTGGGGTGGAGAGAAGTGGTCGGGTACCAGATATAGGTACAGGGACAAGCATTTTCTGTTTTATAACCTGTGGATTTGGTTTTCACTTCTCCCTTCTATTTAAGGCAGATGCTCCCGGTTTTCTATTGATGAGAGTGATGGAAAGTTTTAAATAGGATTATTTCAGTAAAAAGACCTGTCAGTTTAGGGAAAATGATTGATAGTTTGGTTGGTATGTAGAAGTGGCAGAAATCACCAAGGTGGAACGTTCCTGGTGCAAGTTCCAGAAATACCTGGTGTTTGAGAACAGGCTCTCAAGACGGCCTTATCTGGCAGGTGGGGACGATCCAAGGCCCAATGTAGGGGGCACGCCCTTGGTAGGGGAGCCCCTGGATTAATGACACCTGCTGTATGACCCTGGGAAGGTGTTGCCCACTCTGCCCTGGTGACCCACCGCAGAATGGCCAACACCTGGGCTTTCAAATCATGCTCTCTGGGGGACACGTGGGCATTTATCTAGAGTCAGCGCCAAGATGTGCTGGGTCACTTGTCACTCTCCCAAATCTGTGATTATCGAATAAAATGTTCACTGGCCAAGGTGCTGGTCTGGCTGCCACGAGGCCTCCTCTCACCAAGAGAATGGTGGAGAAGGGGTAGGAGGGTGAGTGGGAATTTCTGTGCATGGACTGAGTCTCCAAGGATGGGCCAGCTGGTTCTGATCAATCAAAGATCCTGCTGCCGTGGGCTTTGGTAGACGAGGTTTCTCTATACATTTGGACAGCGTGGTGCTACTGTTATTTGGGGTTTGATTTCCCAAAAGCCTGGGGGGCAGGGGCTCCCGGGGTGACCCCCTGGGCTGTCGGGAGCGGTACTGCTTTACCTTATGGCTGCTTTTGCTTGGTGCAGGATCATCAAAGTCCCCGATCGTCCAGAGGTTCTGTGCTTCCAGATCCGTGGAGCTGCCCCACCGTACGTCTATGCTGTGGGGAGAGGTGAGCGGGAGCCTAAGAGGTGGAGAGGGGAGCTTTGGGAGATGGGTTCGTGTGTGTGTGGAAGGAGTTCAGAGGCCCCCAAACCGTTACCTCCAGGCCTGTGCTTCTTAGTGTACCATTAGCACTTACCTTCTTTGCCTGAAGCCAAGGCTTGCAAACGCTTGTGGAGGGGGGTCAGGCAGTTACAAATGGGCAACTAAAATGAAGGCACTAGGGAGTGGCGAGGACTATGGCAAAGTGAGAAAAATACATGTTCACTCGAAAAGGGGCAGTTTTTCTTCAGCTGAAGCTCATTATTGCCAGGCAGGAATGTGGACCTCCTCCTGCCATATTTGGTTTTTTTTAAAGAAACCAGAAATAGGAATTTGGCCACACTTCTGTGGCCAGATAGATCCAGGCCATAGGCCAGCAGTTTGAGACCTCTGATTTCTTATTGCCTTCTCCTTGTGTGCTGTTTAAGAGGTTACTCTGTCCAGGAGATGAAACCAGATTGACCTGAGATACGGGATTCCCAGCCCTCTTTGCATCTGAGGGCCCCGTTTTTAAAGTTTAAACATTCATTGCCCACTCTTGTGGTCATAGTTGTACTTTTAATATGTATTGATCGAAAATGCATGTCACGATAGAAAGCTACAGAGAATTTGTTAATATCTTCAAGTAGGTTTTAATTTTATTTATCCCTAAAGCAGTGGTTCTCACCTGGGGGCAGTTTCACTCTCCAGAGGCATCTGACAATGTCTGGAGACATCTTTGGTTGTTATACCTTGGGGTGTGGGTGCTACTGGCATCTCATGGGTAGAGACCAGGGATGGTGCTGAACATCCTACAGTGCCCAGGACAGCTCCCCACAGCAGAGAAGTATGCAGCCCAGAATGTCAGTAGTGTTGAGGTGAGAAACCCTGCCTTAGAGCAGAATAGGTGTTTATAGGCAAACTAGGCAAAAATAGTAAGACAGCTGACATTTCTTGAGTCCTTACTAAGAGCCAGGTACGGGGCTAAATGTTTAACATGTTTCAACTCACCGAATCTCTCAAGAACCCTATGAGTAGATATTATTAGTGTCTTCATTTTACAGATGAGGCAGCCAAGGCACAGAGAGGTTATGGAACTTGCCTGAGGTCCCACAGTTGGTCAATGACAGAGCCAGAATTTGAACCCGGGCTCCTGGGGTCCAGGCCTGTACTTGTCCCCATCACACCACGCGGGCCTGATTTTTTCCCGTTTACAAAAAGCTTGACATTCACTTGCATTTCTAGACCCTTCATATTAACCACACAAAACCCTGGGGTCCAAGCCCTGCCATTTGGGAATTGTGGTGTAGCTGAGAAAACATGCCCTTAGAGTCTGGTAGACCTGGGTTCGAAACCTGCCTTATCCTAGGCACGTGACCTTGAGAGAGTCACTTTGCCTCTCCGAGGCTCTGTCTCCCTGTCTGCAAAACGGGGCTGATCCCAGCCCCAGTATCATGGGTTGTAGTGGGACTTTAAAGGAGATGAAGCTCTAGAGTGAAACGTTTCTGGATTCAAGTCCATCCTCCCTTGCTGCGTGACCTTGGGCTAGCTGCTACTTCTCTGAACCTCAGTCTCTTCTTCTGCAAAATGGGAATGCCAGTCCCTGTCCTGCCCACTGGCATGGGGTGGAGAGTGGCTGCAGGGTGCGGGGGATGGAGATGGCGTTTGGGGGAGTTGGGGTGGTGGGTGGGGCGGGGGACAGGTTCATCTGGCTACTTGCCCTTGCCTGGCACTGCCCCGGGCTCTCTTCGCCTGGCATCCAGCCTCGAGCACTCTTGTCCCCCTTAGGCTCTGAGGCCGTGGCCGCAGGCCTCTGTGCCGGCCAGTGCATCCTGAAGGTTAATGGCAACAACGTGATGAACGATGGAGCCCCAGAGGTCCTGGAGCACTTTCAGGCTTTCCGGAGCCACCGAGAAGAGGCCCTGGTGAGCCACCCGGCAGCTAAGGGGATCGGGGAAGCCCTGCTCATTGGCGTGGGGGTGAGGACCACGTTCCCTTCTCTGGGGAAAAGCCTGAAGGCACCACAGCGTTTTGGGTGGGGTGAGGTGGGGTGGGGCTGCCTACCTGGCAGGGCTGAGCTGGGCTTGGGCTCTAGGACCTCTCTGCTTCCTAAACCTCATGGCCTTGGTTTTCACAGCTGTGAAACGGGTGTGATAAGACCCTCTTTTCTTACCACGTGGGCACTTTGGGCAAATAATCACGTCAGTGGTAAAAAATTGATGTTCTACTTGGGTTGGGGACCAGAGTTCTGTGGAGGGTGATCCTAATTCATTGGTTCATTTAATAAGTGTTTATTGAGCACCTGCTGTGTGCCTGGCATGTTTCAAGGCCCTGGGGCCACGGGAGAGACAAGGTTCCTGCTCCCGTGGAGCTGACTTACATTTCCTATGGCTCCTCCTTCCCTGGCTTCTGTGTGGAGCACAGACTATAGACAGTGACGGCTGAGTGTGACTGCAGGTCCCTCAGGAAGGTTCCAGAGTGAAGTCTGGGAGGGCTCTCTGAAAGGTGGTGTTGCCGACAGGCTAAAAGCCTGAGCTTTGGAATTAGGGAACAGTGTGCACCTTGGCCCCTTCCCTTCCTCCCTGGGCTCCTGGCGTCGTGGCCGCCCCTCTTACTCTGCTCCCTGCACAGGGCCTGTACCAGTGGGTCTACCACACCCACGAGGATGCCCAGGAGGCCCGGGAGGCCCCCAGCGAGGACCCTAGTGGCGAGGGGGCCCGAGAGGAAGACCAGTCCAACTCAGGTAACAGGACAGGTGGGCCGTGTGACGGAGGTGCCAGCAGGGACTGGGTCCTCTGTGTGCACAGTCTTCCCGATCCCATCCAGTCCATCTCGACGCCATGGGTTCTGTGTTAGTCTCTGACTGCTACTGTAACAAAGTACCGCAAACCTGGTGGTATAAAACAACACACACTGGGGGCTTCCCTGGTGGTGCAGTGGTTGCGAGTCCGCCTGCCGATGCAGGGGACACGGGTTCGTGCCCCGGTCCGGGAAGATCCCACATGCCGCGGAGCCGGCGCGTCCGGAGCCTGTGCTCCGCAGCGGGAGAGGCCACAACAGTGAGAGGCCCACGTACCGCAAAAAAAAAAAAAAAAAAAAAACCAAACAGCACACATTTATTATGTTACAGTTCTGGAGGTCAGGAGTCCGAAGTGAGACTCACCAGGCTATAATCAGGGTGTCAGCAGGGCTGCTTCCTTTCTGTGGCTCTATGGGAGAATCCATTCACTTGCCTGTTTCAGGTTCTAGAAGCTTGGCTCGTGGCCCCCTTCCTTCATCTTCAGAGCCAGCAGTGTTGGCCTGCGTCCTTCTCACACTGCCATCTCCCTAATTCTAACCCTCCTGGCTCCATCTTCCCCATTTAAGAACCCTGTGATCACACTGGCTTCACCTGGATCATCTGGAATAATCTTACTGTAAAGTCAGCTGACTAGCAGCCCTACTTCCAGCTGCAGCCCCAATTCCTCCTCGCCGGGTAACGTAGCGTACGCACAGGGCCCAGGGATGGGATGTGGGTATTTTTTTAGGGGTTGTTATTCTTTTTCTTCTAGTATTTTGTTGCAGTGTTTTGTTTTGTTTTATAAATTTATTTATTTTATTTTTGGCTGCGTTGGGTCTTCATTGCTGCGCGCGGGCTTTCTCTAGTTGCGGCGAGTGGGGGCTACTCTTTGTCGCAGTGAGCGGGCTTCTCATTGTGGTGGCTTCTCTTGTTGCGGAGCGTGGGCTCTAGGCATGCGGGCTTCAGTAGTTGTGGCTCGTGGACTCTAGAGTGCAGGCTCAGTAGTTGTGGTACACGGACTTAGTTGCTCCACAGCATGTGGGATCTTCCTGGGCCAGGGCTCGAACCCATGTCCCCTGCATTGGCAGGCAGATTCTTAACCACTGCGCCACCAGGGAAGCCCCAGGGGCTGTTATTCTGTCCACCACGGGCTCCCATGTTTTTCTCTCTGCCCAGCCTCAGCCCTGGACCCCCACACCTGTCATTCTACCTGACATCCCCGGATGTCTAACAGGCATCATGGCCAAAATTGAACTCCTGACCTTCCTCTGAAGCTTGTTCCTCCCCTCAGGGTCCCCTCTCCATCCTTCCAGATTCTCAGGCCCCAAACTCAGAGTTCTCCCTGACTGTTCTTTCTCCTGTATCCTGCCACCTTGCTTCCAGCATCCAGGCTCATTGCCTGTACCTTCCCCTTGCAACCAGAATCACCACCTCCATCGCTGCCTGGTCCGAGCCACCATCATTTCTCACCAGGACTATTGTAATGGCCTGCTCACTCTCCTCCCTGCCCTGCCTTACCTCTCCTCCTGTAGGCTAGTCTCAAAAAATAGAACAGAACCTTCCAGTGGCTTCCACCCTATGCAGGGCAAAGACCAAGTCCTTGTCATGGTCTTCCAGGCCCAGCCTTGCTTCCCAGCCTCACCTCTCATCACTTTCCCACTTGCCCTCGCTGCTCCATCCACTCCAGCCTCTTGTTCTTAAATACCAAATGGACTCCTGCCCCAGGGCCTTTGCACTTGCAGTTCCCTCCGCCTGGAATGCTCTCCCCCTGAGTACTTCTTACCCATGCTCCTCGCCTCACTCAACTCTCTGCTCAAATGTCACCTCCTCAGAGAGGCCACCTTGAGTGCTGTAATTAAATAAGCCCTTTCTGTCCCTCAGTGTCTCCTTATCCTGTTTTATTTTTCTTCACCATGTGTATTAGTTGACATATATCATACAATTATTTATTGCTTTTCTCTGTTTTCCCCACTAGCGTAAGCTCCCCGAGGGCAGGGATTTTGTTTGTTTTATTCCTTGCTGTATGCTCCGAGCCTTGAACTGTGCCTGGCGCATAGTAGGCGCTGAGTGAATACTTGTAGTTTGAATAATAGCCCCTCCTCTCCGGTTGCTTCTCTGGACTCTGCCCCGTACTTCTGCTGGGCTGGGGGTGGGGGCAGATGCCATGGGTAGACCAGGGGCTTGGGTGCCTCTGTGTCCAACAGCTCTGGGCTCCTGGCTGGGGACTTTGGGGTCAGAAAAGAACCAGGGTTTATGGGGTTGGCTGGGGAGCTGTCCCGCACTGCTGAAACACCCACAGCCTGGCAGAGGGGTCCTAAAGGGGACAGGCTGATGGGGAGGGGGGAGAGGCCAGCTGGCAGGTGTGAGCTCAGTTTGTGCCCCTCTGAGAGGAATGGGCTGTGGGCCTCCTTCCCCAACATGTGGGCGACCCCTGATGATGACCGTAAACCACGCTGAGAGGAGTTGGTGGTTTCTACTCTTCTGTTCAACAAGTAGAAGCACCTACTATGTGCCAGGTTCTGTTCTAGGAGCTGGGAGACACGAGTGAGCAAGGCAGACAGGGTCCCTGCCCTCAGGACACAGATGTGAGGGGAGCCAGACAGTGAACAAAAGAACAAAAAACCTGACAAGTGGTGACACAGTATGAGGGTGAGGGGAGAAAGAGTGATGGGCTGTGTGTTGAGAGGTCCTCTTTGGAGCAGGTGGGGAGGAAAGCAGTTCACGCCAATAAAGTGTCTACTTTCTCCTTAGATACATCACTGCCTAGCTGTGTGGCTCTGAGGAGTCACAGCCTCTCTGGGCCCATATTAATCAGGACTGAAACTGAGCTACATAAAAACATTGGCTCAGCAAACTAAAATGTCTGAGTAGGGTCAGCAAGCTTCAGGTCTGGCTCAATCCAGCACTTTATATAGTGAGGAGGCTCTTGCTTTTTCTCCAGTTCTCAGCTCTGCTCCCTCTGTGTTGGTTTCCCTCTTACAGGCTGTTTTTCCCACCTGGTGGCTCTAGTAACTTGGGATCCAGTTGAAAAAGAGAATGTCTCCTTCTCTTTGCAGATCCAACAGAAGTGCCAGACTTTACTCTCATTGACTCAGCTTGGGTCACATGCTCACTCCTGAACCAATCACTATGAATAGAGGAAATCAAACATGCTGATTGGCCAGGCCTTTGCCTCTGGGGGAGGGTGTGGTTGGGGGGAGCCCTTTTCTGAGCCACATAGACTGAGAAAGGGGCTCAAGGGTAGATTCCTAGAAGGACAATCTTCTAGAACAAGAGGTGAACAATAGCGGGCTGGCAAAAATGAACAGAGCTGCAGCACTTTAGTCCCCCCATCCGTCCAACACAAGCTATCTGCGGTGCTGGGTCAGGAGGCTGGCTTGGTGTGGGGTGGTGCCGCCTCCTCAGGGTTGCCTGTCCCTCTGGCTTCCAGCCTTCCCCCTGCTGTCCCTGGGTCCCCAGCTGAGCCTGCACGAGGACAGCCCCGTGGTCAGCCTGACGGTGGACAACGTGCACCTGGAGCATGGCGTGGTGTACGAGTACGTGAGCACAGCGGGCATCAAGTGTCACGTGCTGGAGAAGATCGTGGAGCCCCGTGGCTGCTTCGGCCTCACTGCCAAGGTCTTGCTGGGTGCTGCCCTGCCCTGGGAGGTGGGGCAGCGTGATTCCCATGTCCTCAGAGTTAGCCTGGAGATCTGCATCCTAGTTCCTCCCCCTCCACTCGGTAGCTGTGGGGCTTAGGAGACTGACTTGTTATCTCTTAGCCTCAGTTTACTCATCTGCTAAATGGGCCAGTAATAGAGCTGACCTCACACACGTATTATGAGGCATATAGTAGTCACCCCAGATAAACCCATTAAGACCCTCCCAGGTGCACAGCGAGTGCTCAGTAGCTGTTAATATTTCTGCAGATCCTTGAGGCCTTTGCCACCGATGACAGTGTCTTTGTGCAGAACTGTGGGCGGCTTATGGCCCTGAGCAACAACATAAGGACCATGTCCCACTATGAGTTCCGCAACATCTGTGACACCAAGCTGGAGAGCATCGGCCAGAGGATCGCCTTGTACCAGGAGGTGCCTGCACCCTACAGGGTCTCAACTTGGGGTATTTTGGTTGTAAAAGTCAAAACCCAACCCAATTTAGCTTAAATAAACAGGAGAATTTATTGGTTTATATTACTGAAGCATCCAGAGGTGAGCTTCAGGCATGGTTGTATCCAGGCACTCAAACATCACACTGTGACAAGAACAGGACCTCTCTCTTTCTCTTGACTTTATTTTTCTGTCTTGGCTTTGCTCTCAGGCAGTTCCTTTTCATGTGGTGACAACATGGCCCCCAATGGCTCTAGCCTTAGCAACCCCAGTAGAAAAGGAACTCGAAGAGGGCTTTTGTTGACCTTGCTTGGGTCCCTTGCCTAGGCCTGTACCAGTCTCTGCAAGGATGGAGAGGTAGCCTTACCTGAACCTCACGGACTGTGGGTCAGGGAGAGATGTTCCTCAAGGACAGCTCAGGTGCAGGTAAAATGGAGAAATGAACGTGGGTAGGTACTTGGAGGCCTCACGTTTCTCCAGGCCTTCCCTGAAATCTGGGTCCAGTAAAAGGCACTGCAGGGGAATTTACTTTGCCATTTGGAACTATTGACATATTGTCCAATTTTGGATTGTCTGACCTAGGCCAGGATAAAGTGGGTACTGGTGGTGGGTCAGAATTTCCAGACCCCTGTATCACGACTCCACGTCCCCCACCTTTCTCAGTTTGCAGCTCAGCTAAAGAGCAGGGTCAGCCCGCCCTTCAAACAAGCACCCCTGGAACCCCATCCGCTGTGTGGCCTGGACTTTTGCCCCACCAATTGCCACGTCAACCTCATGGAAGTGTCCTACCCCAAGACTACTCCCTCGGTTGGCAGGTCCTTCAGCATCCGCTTTGGTCGCAAACCCTCCCTCATCGGCCTTGACCCAGAGCAAGGTAACTGTGTGTGTCTGTCAAAAACTGTGTCCCGACCTCACACTACAGATACTTAAACAGAAGCATGTCTGAAGGCCAGCAGTCCAGAGCTGGATTGATAGCTCCACGGTCATCAGGGATCCAGGCTCCTTCTATCTTTCTGTGCCACCATCTCTAGATGTTGCTTTTATCCTGAAGGATGCCTCATGGTATATAGAACGGCTGCTGGAGGACCAGCCATCATGTCTACATTCCAGGCAGGAAAAAGATCACAGTAGTTAAAAGTATATTAGCACCAAACCGAAACTTGCTTATTGAAGTAATTCAATGTATTAAAAGAATATTTAAAAGAGAAATATTTCTCATTCATTGGGATCCTTAAAATGAATTTGTATACCTCTGTCTAAGGGGCTTGTGGGTGTCTGGGGGCTGTTTCCAAGTGAACTCTCCCTCCCTCCACTCTAGGTCACCTGAACCCCATGTCCTACACCCAACACTGCATCACCACCATGGCTGCCCCATCCTGGAAGTGCCTACCTGCTGCGGATGGGGACCCCCAAAGCCAGGGTCCCAATGACAGCAGCTTTGGGTCAGCCAGTGGAACCCTTGGCCAGGAGCACCGGGGTTTGAGCTTCCTACTCAAGCAGGAGGACCGTGAGATCCAGGATGCCTACCTGCAGCTCTTTACCAGACTGGATGTGGCCCTGAAGGAGATGAAGCAATATGTTACCCAGATCAACAGGTGAGCCCTGGGCCCAGGAGAGAATGGCCCGAGTGTCAGGGTCAGGATTTCTCAACATCAGCGGCATCAACATTTCGGGTAGGATCATTCTTCGGAGTTGGGAGCTGTCCTGTACATTATAGGCTATTAGTGGTATCCCTGCCTTCTACCCACTAGATACCAGTAGCACCCCCTTCCCCAGTTGTGACAATCACAAATGTCTTCAGACATTGTCAAATGCCCTCTGGGGGGCAAAGTCACCCCTGATTGAGAACCACTGATCCAATGAAAGGATGGATGTAGGCAGCATCATCAGTAGAGGCTAAAACTATTTGTTGAGAGGTTTGGGGGGAACTTTATCATTTTAATGTTGCAGAAAGAGAGACGGCTAGACGTGATGTCCCTTTTGGTGCGAAGCAGCAGGACACATGCACCGCATCACCTACAAAGCGTTCTTGCCAGCACAAGTCGCACCGTTCTCTGATCAAAGTTCTAGGTCTCACTACTCAGCTACAGGACTGGGTTTTAAGGGAGGATGAAATGCCACCTCAGGGACGCAGTTGGCTAAATTCAGAGGGTGGGTGATTCTAGATGACAAATGACCCAGTTTCTTTAACAAATAAATGATTGGAGGGGAAGCAGGTACAGGGAGGCGGGGGAGGAGGAACTGTTAGGGAAGAGACTTGAGAGACACATCAACCGAATACAGTGTCTGGACCTGGTTCGGGTTCTGTTTCTAACATACCATCTGTGAGAAGACACTTTGGGCAGCATCAGGGATCCCATGGTCTGGGAACTAGATGGTATTATGGAATGATTGATTTTGTTAGGTGTGGTAATAGTGACTGGTTATGTTTACAGCAGTGTTTCTCAGCCTCAGTACGGTTGACATTTTGGGCCCGATAATTCTTTGTTGTGGGATACTTAGTGGCATTCCTGGCCTCTACTCCTTGGATGCCAGTAGCTAGCCCACCCCTCCCTGCCCTGCTTCAGTTGTGACAACTAAAAATGTCTCTGGACGTTGCTAAATGTTTGCGCCTGAGGGAACTTGCTAAATTGCTAACTGTTTCCTGGAGTGGGGGAGTGGGGGACAGAAAGCACCCTCAGTTGAGAACCGTTGCTTTAAAAATAAATCCTTATGTGCTAGAGACACATATGGAAGTGTTTATAGGGGAAATTATATGATATCTTAGGTTTGTTTTAACCACTCCAGAAAAAGAAAAAGCAACAGGAAAGATGGAGGAAAGAAAAGTGGATCCTGAGTTGCCACCGTTGAAGCTGGCAGCTGGTTACCTGGGGTCTATCATACTGGTCCCTCTCCTTTTGTGTATGATAGAAATTGTCAATCAGAATAGGAAAAATAATGTAGGGTCTGGAGGCAGGAGGCCTGGGTTTGATCCTGGCCCTGCCACTTATTAGCTGTGTGACCTTAGGCAAGTCACTTAACCTCTCTGAGCCTCGATGGTCTCACCTGTTAAAATGGGGCTAATCATAATACTGACCTCATTGAGGTGTAGTAGGATTATATCAGCCAGGGTTTACTGGTCACTTACAAGGCACCAGACACTCTTCTGAGCACTTTACCTATTTTAACCCCCTTAATCTTTACAGCAGATGAGGGCATAGATAGTGATATTACCCCAGATGAGGAAGCTGAGTCTCAGAGAGGTTTAATAATTAGCTTTAGGCCTCTGGACTAGGAAATGATAGCACTGGGATTTGAACCTGGGGTCTGTCTGTCTTAAAAACCTATAGTCTTAACAATTATACTCTATGCCAGGGATTGACACACTACGGCCTGTGGGCCAAATCCAGCCCACTGCTTTTTTTAAAAAATAAAGGCTTACTGGAGCACAGCCGTGCCCATTCCTTTGCATGTTGTCTATGGTGCTGTCACAGTACAGCAGCAGAGATGAGTGTATGGCTGTAACTGAGACCATACGGCCCTTATAGACCACGTTTCCCAGTTGCCTTCTTTTCTCTGGAGCCTGTGTGTAGCTTGGCTGTGAAATAAGGAGTATCCATACGTCACGCCCCCTACAGGAGGGACAACGTATTCACATCTGCAGAGTTGCTGGTGGGATTTTCTTTTTATTTATTTATTTATTTATTTATGGCTGCGTTGGGTCTTCGTTGCTGCGCGGGCTTTCTCTAGCTGTGGGCAGCGGGGGCTACTCTTCGTTGCAATGTGCAGGCTTCTCATTGCGGTGGCTTCTCTTGTTACAGAGCACGGGCTCTAGGCGCGCGGGCTTCAGTAGTCGTGTCATAAGGGCTCAGTGGTTGTGGCTCGCAGGCTCTAGAACGCAGGCTCCGTAGTTGTGGCGCACGGGCTTAGTTGCTCCGCGGCATGTGGGATTTTCCCGGACCAGGGATCGAACCCATGTCCCCTGCATTGGCAGGCGGATTCTTAACCACTGCACCACCAGGGAAGTCCTGCTGGTGGGATTTTCAGGGAAGGGACACAGAGCATTTGATGGTTCCCTCTACTTAGGATCAAAGGTGAGGCCTGAGCTTCCCTGGTGGCACAGTGGTTGAGAGTCCGCCTGCTGATGCAGGGGACACGGGTTCATGCCCCGGTCCGGGAAGATACCACATGCCACGGAGCGGCCCGTGAACCATGGCCACTGAGCCTGCACGTCAGGAGCCTGTGCTCCGCCATGGGAGAGGCCACGACAGTGAGAGGCCCGCGTACCAAAAAAAAAAAAAAAAAAAAAAGTGAGGCCTGAGGTCAGAGCCTTGCCTGGGGCCTCCATGGAGGCAAGTGGAGCCACGGGCCTCTGCCTTTAAGTTCAAAGTCTTTGCTCCTGCAGGCTGCTGTCCACCATCACGGAGCCCACCTCGGGTGGGTCCTGCGATCCACCCTCGGCCGAGGAGACCTCATCCCCCCAACTGGTCAGCGAAGAGAGCGAGATGGACAGGGCCGATCACGGGGGCAGCAAGAAAGTGTGCTTCAAGGTGTCAGAGGACGATCAGGAGGACTCGGGTCATGACACCATGAGCTACCGGGACTCCTACAGGTGAGGGCAAGCGGTGCTCTCGTGGGGTTTGCTGTGAACGGCCAGTGGCACAGTTGAGGCCCCCGCCGTGGGAAAGTCAGAATCAGAGGACATTTCCCAGGAAGCAGTGGGATGGGGCACTGTCGCCTAGCTATGTGGTCCTGGGGGGTTAGGCTGCGCCCCACAGCACGCCCCAGATGCCCCCTTCGGCTCCCCTGCCCCGGTGGACACCACCCATCCTTTCTGCCTTGGTTACAGTCTGCGCACGTTGATGGAATGTGGTCCAAGGAAAGGTCAAGATCTGCAGTGTGTTTTAAAATCAACGTTAAGACCTCTCTGGTTTCTGCAACAAACACTATTTTTACTTGATCCAGGGAGTAAGACCATTTTTTCCCCTGCTGACTCAGAGGATCTGAATTGTTTTCTCCTGGTTAAGTTAATTATTAACAAGATCAGTGAAGTTTGAATTAGGGGTTAAATAGACTGAAACCCCACTTTCCTGTAATAAACCGTAGAGCGAGTGAATGGAATCCCTTACCACAGATAAACAAGCACCTTAGCCTCCAGTGAAAGGTTACATAACATCTGACCATTGTGGTTAAAGTAGAACCTTGGAGGGGCACTTCAGTTGTTCGTGGGCAAAATACAGAATTGATAGAATTTGGCAAGAAAGGCTTTGGTCCCCATCCTTCCAGCTTTTATATCCTTTCAGTCTTCAAGGGACCAGATTGGTCGGTGTTTCTTGGTGTCTGTATTACGAAATGGTCTGGCTGACTGGGTACCGTGTGTTCTTGGAGCCTCTTGTCCACAGACCAAGATCTCTCCATCTCTCTGGGTTTCCATTCTGACATTTTTGGGTCCTCCGATTTTTCCTTTAATTGTCAGAAAGGTGAAGGAAAGAATTTCAGGGTTGTGGTTTTTAATTCCCCATGCCTTCTGAGTTCCTGGGATACAAGCCAAGCAAACACAGTCTTTGTTCTTAGGAGGTTTCTAGCCAGGCTGGGGAGACAAAATATGGAACCATGTGGCCAAGTGTGGCGAATGCAGGTGTGTCCAGGGACAAGGCTGTCCCCCGAAGACAGTGACAGGAGTTACACCCAAACAAAAATGATTCATTATCCACCTACCACTTCTGTACTGAGGCCTGGAAATGTTTCCCCAGCATCAGACCTAGAAAACGCACCAGGACAGCCCTGCCCGTCTATGGCTCTGGCGGTTGGCCCACGGTGCCTCCTCTGGGCCAGTCGTCCACCCAAGGGTTTTGTCTACACTCCAGAAAGTGGGTTCCGGGTGCTGGGACCAGAGGCTGTGAGTGGGAGGGTGACTCATGCCTTCGTCTGTGCTGCTTTGCAGTGAATGTGACAGTAATCGGGACTCTGTCCTGTCTTACACCAGCGTGAGAAGTAACAGCTCCTACCTGGGCAGCGACGAGATGGGGTCTGGTGAGTGCAGAGGCTCGTGCTCCAGGAGAGCGGTCCCCCAGCGCGATTCTGTTTTGTTTATTTTTATTTTGTTATGCTTTGCTCCGTGTTATATTGTCTTCTATTACTTTGCATGGTGTGGTAGTGGTTTTCCTTCAGTCCTTTAGCAAACATTTATTGCGCACCAGTTAATGTGCTGGGACCACGGCAGTGAATGAAAAGACAAAGATCCCGGCCCTCACGTTCTCCGTGAACGCCACGGACACGGGACAAATAAAAACATACACGATGCAGTTACATGTTGTGGTGAGGGCTCCAACGTTACTAAAATAGGGCGACCTGATGGTTTCCGTGAATGACACATGCTCAAACCAAAAATTCAGATGACACAGGGAAGTTCAAAAGAAGTACATGGAAATAAGTCAGTATCTCAACTTCTCCCCCAGAAATGACTATTGATTATATTTGGGGATTGCTGGTGAACATGTATTTCTGCACAGATGTGGAGAAATGTGGGTGGACGGCTGGAGGGACAGACAGACATAAATAAGATTTTATAAATTAGATTCTATGTTACTTGGAATTTTTACTGAAAGACTGAAATTTGTTTTTATTTTAGTTTTATTGATTTCAGCCTTTAAAAATTTTATTTTGTGAATAAGACAGACATCCACATGGTTCATAATTCAAAAGGCATGAGAGGGTGGGTAGTGACAAACCTCCCTCCCACCCTTGTTACCTGGCCTCCCGGTTCCCAAGCTCCCGCTGTCACTACTGCCCTATGTGTCCTTCCAGAGGTAGTATCTGTGCATAAAAATTTTAATTTTAATTATACTTCAGTTTAACAGAAGAAAAAGAAGCTCACGTAAAATCAGAGATATTTCTGAACTTTAGGTAAATATTTCATCACATAAGATATTCAGCTGCAAAAACTATCCCTGGGGAGGTTTTAGGAAGGCACTTACATGTGGCAGCGGATTTAAATGAAATGGCTGGGGGATGAATCAGGAGACTGGGATCCGGTTCCTTATATCTGACTTTCTGTCTCCTCGTCTGCAGAGTGAAAACTAACAACATTGACTTACAATTGTGTAATGTTTTAGTTCCTGTTGCCCATTTTGCAGATGAAGAAACCGAGGTGCAGAGAGGTCAAGTGATTTGTGCAGTGTCACACAGCCAGGACCTGGGTCTATCAGACTCCAAGTCCACTGTGGGTTTTGGAGCTCTGTAGCTACATTGCTTTCTTGAGAAAGAGGCTGGGAAGGTGTGAGATGGGGCAGTAATAGTTGATGGCTGTGGTTTCTTCCTTCTGCAAGGGGACGAGCTGCCCTGTGACATGAGGATCCCGTCAGACAAGCAGGACAAGCTTCATGGCTGCCTGGAGCACCTCTTTAACCAGGTAGGACCTTTGTCCCAACTCCGGCCTGACCTTGAGTTCTTCCCATCACCCCTGGTAAGAACCCATAAGCCAGGAGCTGGGGCAGGGGCTATGAGTAATGAGTCCCTGCAACTTGGAGGGCCCTGTGGGCCAAACTAACCCAGAGCTTCCCGCCACCCAGGTGGACTCCATCCATGCACTCCTCAAGGGGCCAGTCATGAGCAGAGCTTTTGAAGAGACCAGGCATTTCCCCATGGACCACAGCTTACAAGGTGAGCAGAGAAGAGTCCCCAGGCAGGGTGAGGGATGACATCCAGCATCCGTCGGGGAGACGGGCTGCAATGGGTGACGTGTGCTGGACAGGCGTCAGGCCACCTGGGCCACGTTCTCAGCTTTGCCCCTCACCTGTTGAATGGCCGTGGGTCAGTCCAGGGGCAGTCAGCAGATCCAGCCCATGGCCTGTTTTTGTACAGACTGTGAGCTCAGAATGACTTCATTTATAATGGATTGTTAAAACGGAATGAAAGAAAGAACATGTGACAGAGACTGTATACCCTGCAAAGCCTAAATCAGTTCCTATCTGACTCTTTACAGAAAAAGTGTGTGGACCGCTGGGCTGGTCCCTGAGCCTTTCTGGGCCTCCGTCTGCCTGTTTATAACATGAGGGGAAGGACTGGAGCACGATTTGCCAAACCTCAGACACCCCCACAGCCCCTTCATCGTTTTAGACATATTCACAGAATCTGCCAACATCTTTACATTTTTTAAACCATATTCATTTGCTGCCCATATTATTGATAGATCAAACTGTCTCCCTTTAAAAAATTCAATTTTGAAAGGACCTTATTTAACTCCCTGTAAATGGAAAACCAGTATAAAATGTCATAAAATAATGATAAATCCAATGGAAACAGCAACAAAAAATGTCATTGTACTGTAGTTAGGCACTGTTGCCTGCCCAGAGCTCTTTGTTCTTTATTCCTGAGGGGGATTAGTGAGTTAAAGAAGTGTTAAGGACTTACCAGCACCAAACTGAGACCTTCTTCTTGAAACGATTGAGAGAAAAAGATTGACTTTTATGTCCCTCTATTTACTTCTCCTCCCATCTACCCATCCACCCACCTATTTATCTGTCCATCCATCCGTCCATCCATCATCCATCCATCCATTCATCTATCCATCCATCCATCCACCCATCCACCTACCCACTCATCCACCCATCTGTCTACTTCATGCATCCATGCATTCATACATCCAGTAAATACTTTCCAAGAACCAGCTTGTGTCAGGCCTTGTGCTGGGCCCTGGGGCCCATTAGATGAAGGTGACACTGCCTCTGACCTCAAGGAGCTTCCAGTAGAGTTCAGGAGACGGGAAAAGAAACAGGCAGTTGCTCCTAAGTGAGGGTCAGAAGTGGTGAGAAGTTGGGGTGCCCTAGCTCAGCTCTCCCTCCTGCTGTCTCAGGATCATCTCTCCCTGGGATGGACCTTAGAAAGAAGAAATGTCAAACTCAGAGGAAACAAAACCACACATCTCAGAAACCTGGGACTTTGTAGCAGGGAAGAGGCCAAAGGAGCGGGGACCTGTGTTTGCTTGTCTGGGGCCAGGTTCAAGTCCCTTTTCTCTCACTACCCTGCTGTGTGACTTGAGGCAAGTCACTTTTCCACTCTGTGCCTGGACTTCCTCCTCTGTGTAGGGAAAAGGTTACGCTAGGTTACAACTCACGTGCCAGCTCGATTGGTTGTGGCTGTGAGGAGGTAGTCCCCGAGAATCCTTCCGTGACTACATCCAGGCTTAGGAGACAAGCATGCCCTGATTGATTTGTGATGTCTGCATTGGATTTGTTGCACCTGTGAGGAGTCGCAGCCTCAGACGAGCGGGAAGGAGTGCTGAGATTGATCAGCAGCGTCTGCCATGAGTGTGATACTATGAATTCGTAGCACACTTACCATGTGTTTGCCTTCCATGGACCAGATAGTGCCCTAGAGTCCTGCCAGCATCCTTGACCTAAGATTCTGAGCTTTGGAATCTAGTGATGGTACAGAGGCCTTTGTGCCCCCATTTTCCAAAGCTATCTAATTGTCCCTTTCCTGCCCTCATGTCACTTTCTGCCCCAGAGTTCAAACAGAAAGAGGAGTGTACAATTCGTGGCCGCAGCTTGATCCAGATCAGCATCCAGGAGGACCCCTGGAACCTCCCCAATTCCATCAAGACCCTGGTGGACAACATTCAGAGATACGTGGAAGGTCAGTTGGGCAGGGAAGGCTGTGATGTGGAGGTTTTGTGGCCTTTGGTTCTTGATGTGCAACGTGGAAGGATCAGGAATGGGTCCATCTCCGTGCCCCATGTCTCTCCAGGCCCAGGGAGAGGACAGGAAGAGAGAGTGTCCCTTTCTCAGCTGTGTCCTGCCCTGGGCAAGGCCCTGGGACAGTACACACTTGATCAAGGAACCGCTGATTTCGGGTGCCTGGGGCTTCCTTGCAGAGTCAGGAGGCTAAGAAGGCTGAACTTGTTCCTTCTCAGCTTCCAAAATTGTGGATGTAGTTCAGTTCCTTTTGTTTATTAACCAGGTTACAAGTTGGGGGGTGGGTGGGTCCTGATCAGACTTGGGCCGCCAGGTAATTTTTGATGCTACAGCATTAAAAAATGTGAATCTGCTGCCAGCATTTATAATCCGAGACCCCACTTGGCTGGAGATGAGTGGTGGCCACCCTCTTTAGGTGGGGGAGGGGTGCCTTCCAGTCCACATGGATCCCACCATGCCCTGTGGCCTGGGGTCTGCTTCATGCACCTTATATTACCTGCCTGGCCCTTGGCAGCATTTGAGCCTGGGACTCCTGGGTTAGAAGGATCCCAGGCCAGGGAGACATCTGACCAGGACAGCAGGAGGTGCTTGTCCCCAGGGTCATGACCCCAGGAACAGCACCCTCTGACTTGGAAGTCTGTGTTGGCCCTGAGCTGTCCTGTCTTCCAAAACTGTGACTGGTGAAGAGCATGGACTCCGGAGCCAGATGGCCAGTGCTCGAACCCCAGCTCTCCCACTTATTGGCTGTGCGACCTTAGCAAATTCCTTGACTTCTCTGTGCTCCAGTCTCTTCATGTGTAAAATGGGTTCATAGTATTGTTGTGAAGGATAAACGCGTCAGTACAAACAAGGCACTTAGTGCAGGGCCTGGCACACAGTAAGCCCTCAGTAAGCATTTGCTGGTGTTATTACCACACCCTGCCCTGCATCTTAGTGCCTCCCCAGGACAGAATGTATCACAAGAGGGCAAATCCAGGGTCCTTTCAGATTTTTCTTTTAAGCCCCTTCTGGGCCCAAGAGCCTTTATTTGACGGAAAGAGACCAGGGTGTTAGGCCTGTGTCTGGAAGGTCTGGGCTTTGTCTACACGTGGGCAGGGCTTGGCTGTGTAGGACGATGTGAATAAGTACCTGAGTACACGTGTGAGTGTACGTGGTCTGAGTGTGCTCCCACATGTACATACACGCGTGTGTCAGGGTGTGCCCACGCACAGGTACAAGGTGTGGGCTGGGGGCTCTGGCCCATTAGTTGGAGGGGCTGGTTTGAGTCTCTGTATAGACAGTTGGGGTGCAGCTAAAAGTTGGGGTTTCATCCCCTGCACGTCCAAGCGTTTCTGGAATCTGCTCAACATTCAGTCGAAGCTTGTTGAGCGCAGCTCTGTGTGCCCAGAGCTTCACTGCGAGAAGGGGCAGGCACGTGGGCTGTGGGGAGGCCTGGCTCGGCTTGCTGCTTCTGCTAACCCCTCTCAGCCCATCTCCTTCTCCTTCCAGATGGAAAGAACCAGCTGCTCCTGGCCTTGCTGAAATGCACAGGTGAGGGCTTCGAAGGGGCAGCTGTCTGTGATTTGCACACACCCAGGTGCATCCGGGAGAGGCCCCCCCTGGCAGCCAGTGCCCATGACCGCACCCCGGGGAAGGCCTCTTCTGCCGGCCAAGGTTGACTTTCCCTTGGTCATCGGGGTCTGCACAAGGGGAGGTAACACCATGGCCTCTAGCCCCTCCAAGAACTACTCAGACCTCACTTCTTCCTCTTGTGTCCGGGGGACAAGTCTCAGGGCCCTGGAGCCAGGAGCACTGTCTCTTGCCACTTCCCAGGCCTGGGCTGATCTTGACGAGGACACAGGATAGAGCACCGACAATTAGGGAGGCTCTTTGCCGGTAGAGCCCTCAGCCCCAGCCTGGGGCTTCCTACCCCGAAGACAGTGGGGTGGAGGAGGGGCTGACGGGGGCCTAGGGGAATCTTGGAGGTGTTCTCTGTCCCTCCCTTCCTTCCAGAAATTCTCAGCCAAGGGGCAGCTAGAATAGGATCTGGGTCAAAATTGGTCACTGAAAACCCATTAGCTAGAGCCAGTCATCAAAAATAATCCCTTCCAGGGCTTCCCTGGTGGCGCAAGTGGTTGAGAGTCCACCTGCTGATGCAGGGGACACGGGTTCGTGCCCTGGTCCAGGAAGATCCCACATGCCGCGGAGTGGCTGGGCCCGTGAGCCATGGCCGCTGAGCCTGCGCGTCCGGAGCCTGTGCTCCGCAACGGGAGAGGCTGTAGCAGTGAGAGGCCCGCGTACAGCAAAAAACAAAAACAAAAACAAAAACAAAAACAAACAAACAAAAATAATCCCTTCCAGGGAATTCCCTGGTGGTCCGGTGGTTAGGACTCGGTGCTTTCACTGCTGGGGCCCGGGTTCGATCCCTGGTCAGGGAACTAAGATCCCGAAAGCTGCGTGGCACAGCCAAAAGAAAAGGAAAAAATCCCTTCCAGGATATTAGGACCCTGAATGACTGATTTCCCAAAATTGGCCAGTTCTGTAAATCACATCACAAGCAGGGGACAAGGAAGTGGTGGTGGGGGATGATAAGAAGAAGGCATACTTCTCAAAAATAGAGAAAATGGTAAACTGCATTTCTTAAAACATGGAGCTGGCATCATCACTCTCAATGAATGCTGGGAAATTTCCTAATAAATGAACAGCTGAGGGTAAGGGTTTGGGGAAAGCCTTTGGAAAATCACAAGTTGTTCTGTTGTTTTACGTAGGGAGATGGGTCATTGAGAGGGCTGAGTTTTTCCACGGATTGGCTTGGCTTTTGGAGAGTTGAGTTTTGTGGAGTTGCCTTTGGTGCCTGGGATGAATGAATTCTGTCTGCCAGTTGGCCCCGGATGGGTGGTCGTGTCGGGGAGTGGAGGCTAGTCCCGGCCCCCGGGTTGTGGGGTACAGGCCTGCTGATGGCACAGGAGCCCCCTCCCCATCCCCTCTGCCCACAGACACGGAGCTGCAGCTGCGGAGGGACAGCATCTTCTGCCAGGCACTGGTGGCCGCCGTGTGCACCTTCTCCGAGCAGCTGCTGGCGGCCCTGAGCTACCGCTACAACAACAACGGCGAGTACGAGGAGAGCAGCCGGGACGCCAGCCGCAAGTGGCTGGAGCAGGTGGCGGCCACTGGCGTCCTCCTGCACTGCCAGTCCCTGCTCTCGCCGGCCGCGGTGAGTGGGGGGCGGGGGAGGTCTTGCTCAGGCTGTCGCCCACCCCGTTCATTCATTCAGCGGCTGTTTATCAAGCACCTACTATGTGTCACTGTTACAGGCACTGGGGACCCAGCAGTGGACAAAACAGAGAGTTCGTTTACTCAGGGACCTTATACCCTGATTTTGGGGAGATAGACATAAACAACTAAGGACCAGGGATGGTACAGACCAGTGGTTCTCACCAGGGCAGTTTTGCCCCCAGGGTACACTTGGCAATCTCTGGAGACATTTTTGGTTGTCACAGCTGAGGGAAGAGGAAGTACTACTGGCATGTGGTGTGTAGAGGCCAGGGAGGCTGCTAAACCTACAACACACAGAATGCTCACCCCGTCCCCACTCCCCAGCAGAGAATTATCTGGCCCCAAGTGTCAGTAGTGCTGCAGTTGAGAAACCCTCATTTATAATGTTAAGGGCTAAGGGGAATGTCTGGGGTGGTGGCAGTTGAAAGTTTTGATAAGGCAGCCACTGAGGGCCTCAGTGAGAGGTGACATCTGACCTAAGAACCGAAGGAGGGGAGAGGGTGAGCCATGAGGACACTGGGGAGGAGCCCTCCAGGCAGAGAGAACAGCAGGTGCAAAGGTCCTGAGTCAGGAGGATGCACGCAGTGTTTGAGATATAACGAGGTACCCAGTGCGGCTGGAATAGAGTGCGTGAGCCCGGGGAAGGTGGGGGAGGTGAGTCCTGAGAATTAACTGGGGTCTGACTGTTCGGGGTCTTGCATGCTGTTGTAGGACTTTGGCTGTTACTCTGAGTGGGTGGCAGTCAGGGGAGGGTTTTGAGAAGAGGAGGGACCGGATCTGACTTTGATACTTAAAGGATCACCCAGGCTGCGGGGTGGGGAAGAGTGTAGAGGGGCAAGGGCAGAAACTGGGAGACCAGTGAGCAGGCTTTTGTGGTAATTCAGGTGAACTTTGTTGATGCAAATAACACCTTGTTTAGTTCTTGCAGTAGCCCCCAGGCAGGTCCTTTACCACCCACTTTTTAAGGATGAGGACACTGAGGCCCAGGGAACCTGTGTGAACCTGGGAGTCTGACTCTAGACCTGGTTCCCCCAGACTGCCCTGCCTTCTCCACATCTCTTTTATCTCTGAGTGCCCTGTCCATCCACTCGCAGGGCTCAGAATCAGGGTGGGTCCCGCTACCAGCTCCGGGAGGAGGCAGAGCCAATGACTCAGCATTTCAGGGTACTGGTACCCAGAGCCGATGCCCCCCCAGAAATCCAGCCGGCAGCAGCACTTGCTCTGTGCTGTTTGCCCCTCCACCCGTGTGCCCAGGCCTGAGCTCCCCACACCTTGCAGCCCTGAGCCTCCTAGACATTTTCCTAGGCCGGACAGGAAGCCACAGCTGCGGCGGTTTGGGAAAGAGTGGCGTGGTGCGCCCTCTGCTGGCCGATGTTGCAGACGGGTGCCTGCCTGGTGGGAGACACCCTGTCATTGGTTTCTGGAACTGAGCACCCAGCCCTCACGTTCTTCTCTGATGAGGTCACCGGGACCCAGTGTGTTAATTTAGCAGTTGCCAGGATATGCAGGCTCTGAGCTGGGTGCTGCGTTGGAATGGTTCAGTGGGATTGGTGGGTTGACCCGGGTAGGAGGACCACCCCGCATGTTAGAGCAGAGATGGGCTCTGACCTGGGAGGTGGAGGACAGGCCTGGAGCAAACATGATCTCACGTCCAGCCCCAGAGAGACCTGCGCAAGACCTCATGCCTGGTAGCGCCACAGCCTGGTGTGTCAACTAGAGTTGAATCACAGCATCTTGAAGTGAAACCTGGGGCAGGGGTGGCACCTGTGACTCCTCCACTCTGTCTTGCTCTTGCAGAAAGAGGAACGGACCATGTTGGAGGACATCTGGGTGACCCTGTCGGAGCTGGACAATGTCACCTTCTCCTTCAAGCAGCTGGACGAGAACTACGTGGCCAGTGAGTGATTCCTCCCACCCCCACCGTGAGAGTCAGGGTTCTGGGGTGGAAGGGACCGCTCTGGGGTCACCCTGTCCCTCCCCCTGCCACCAGGCCAGCTGCCTAAAGTTGACCCAGGACCCAGTGCTTTCAAACCTCATGCTCCCAACATACAGGGAAGGAGAGGGTCTCTTTTTTTTATAAACCCAGCCGTCTCCAAGAGCGCTTAAGAGGGAAAAACAGCCAGTACCCAGTTCTTATTAAAACTCCTAGAGATAACCTTCGGTGGGATGAAGACGTGTTAAGATTTTCTAAGAACTTACACCATAATTTTCTTCTTTCCTTTCTTTCTCCCTCCCTCCCACCCATCTTTCCACTCGCCTACCCACTCATCCACTCATTCATCTACTCATCCATCCACCCATCCATTTATCCATCCATCCATCCATCCATCACCCATCCACCCACACACTCATCCTTCTATCCACATACCCATAATTTCGAGCACATGATACGTGTCAGGCTCAGTTTTAGGTTCTGGGCCACAGTGGAGAGATATACAGCCATGGTTTCTGCCCTCCTGGAGCTCACATTGTGGTCCAGTGGGTCTCAGCCCTGGCTGCACTGGGATCGCCCAGGGAGCTTTTCAGACACTGATGCCTCAGTCCCAGTCCCAGCCCTGGTGATTTGGATTCAGCCTGTGGGGTGGATCCTGGGCATTGGGATTCAAGATAAACTTTCCAGGTGACTTTGATGTATAGCCAGGACTGAGAATCACTGCGCTCGGTTCTAGAGCCATGGTTCTCTGAGTGTGATCCCTGGACCAGCGGCACCTGGAAGCTTGTTAGCCTAATTCTCAGGCCCCATCCCAGACCTGCTGAATCCCAAACTGGAAGCAGAGCCCAGAAATGTGTGTCAGCAAGCCCTCCCGGTGATTTTGAAGCATGCTAGTTTGAGAACCGCTGCTTTTTTTGTTGTTGTTTTTTATTATCACCTCCCTAAGGAGCTTGTTTAGACAATTTTTTCCTAATCGCCCACACCCCCATGAAACTTTTATATCATGGATATACTATATATCTGTTTATGTACTATATGTATATATGTGATTTACATATAAAAAGAGTAAGTGGTTTTTTTTTTTGCCTTTGCCCCCAAAACCAATTTTTACCTCCTTGGAGGTGATATCACCCTGTTGAGAATGTGTAAACTAGAGTCTAGAAGCACAATGGGTTTCATTTCAGGTACCAATTGGAATTGGTTGGCAGTGGCTGCCTGTCTGTAGGCCAGCTTGGGCTCAGGGAGAATTATCCATCAATTAGTGATGTCTGCTATGGGTGCAGGATGGGGTGTTAGTGCCACCCCTGCCACAAGCTCTTTGCTATGGGTATAAATAAGATGCAGGTGCTGTTTGAGGGTAGCTTTTGCCAGTTAGAGGCCCTGGGCTACCAGGTGAGGGGTAGAAGGAGCATTGGTGAGGCTCTGAAGATAAACAGGGACAACTCCGCAGCTGGGCAGAATCAATGTCAGGTGTAAGAGTTAAGCAGTAGAAACTGGGACCTGTCAAGGGAGGTGAAAAGGGAGGTCAGAGGCTGCTCCTCTGAGTGGTAGGGGGACGGGGCTATCTGAGGTGCCCCGAGACTGTGGGAGGGCAGGAAGGTCTGAAGCCGCGGCTCTGGGGTGGGCAGACAGGGAGGTCCTGGGACATCACAGTGGCGATCTGAAGGAGGTCTGTAGCTGCCCTCGCGGAGGTGGGGTGGGGCCCCTCTGGCCTTGATGGTGAGCCCTCTGCCCCACCACGTCCCCCACCAGACACCAACGTCTTCTACCACATCGAGGGCAGCCGGCAGGCACTGAAGGTTATCTTCTACCTGGATAGCTATCACTTCTCCAAGCTGCCCTCCCGCCTGGAGAGCGGGGCCAGTCTAAGGCTGCACACCGTGCTCTTCACGAAAGGTGAGCCGCGGGGACGGGCTGAGTGGGGCCCACTGGGGATGGCCGTGCACACCGGGAGCCAAGCACCTGCCCTTGCTCTTCTTCCTTCACAGCTCTGGAGAACATGGAGGCACCGCCTCCTCCAGGCAGCCAGACGGTGGACGATTTGCAGCAGGAGATCAATGCCCGGTCCCTGGAGAAGGTTCAGCAGTATTACCGCAAACTCAGGTATCTGCATGGGCTACATGATGGGGGCAGGATTCTGAACACTGTCACGGGGAGTGAGCATCAGCGTGTAAGGCACCAGACGGGCCCCCAGTGCGGGGGCGGGCAGTGCCCTTTCTTGAGCATCTACTGTGCGCCAGGCTCTCTGCCTACACGAGCTCATCAGATTCTCACAGCAGTCACTGGCAGCCATTCTAACTCAGCCATTCTGAGGAAACTGATGTCCAGAGAGCACACCCAGCTTGCCCAAGTCACGCAGCTAGACTGGGTCGGCTTGGCTTCAAAGCAGGTCCTTCCATCTGGGGGGAGATGCCTGTTTCATTCTGCATGGGGGGGGAGCTGGGACAGGGGCCCTGGGATTCTTGAGCCTGTGAGTGAGGGACGTGACTCCAGAGCCTCGGCCCTGCTCAGGGGAGACCCCCAGAGAGAAGAAAGAGTAGGGGTCACATCCGCCAGGAGGAAGCCTGGGGCCCAAGGAGGCAGCTCCCACTACTGCTGCCCCCATCCCAGCCCGTTCCTACTTCTGCCTCACCTTCTCCCTCCGCGAAGAAGGGGGGCTGAGAATTCGCAGACCGGGGTTTCAGGGTGTGGTAAGGGCTTTAGTATTTGGAAATGGGAGAACGATGCTTTCATATGTCTGTTCAGGGAAAACATCTACCTGTATTATTATAACCGGCATCTCTCTGGATCATTCGATGCCATCAATCTGTTCTGTGCCGCTCGCTGAATATTTTAAAAATTGCCGCTGTAATCGTTCGCTCATCTCTCTTTCATTCCGCACCTGTCACTCAAGGCCTTCCATAGGCCAGGTTCTGTTCTGGGTGCTCGCTTAGGAGTCAACAGCGACCAAACAAAGCCTGTTCTTCATGGAGGGTAGATTCTAGAGCTGCTGTGGTCCGGCCCACCCCCTGTTTTGTCAGTAAAGTTTTATTAGCACACAGCCACGTTCATCCAAGTGTGTATCGTCTCTGGCTGCTTTTGTGTTGCAACAGCAGAGCTGAGTAGCATCTTCATAGAGGCTGGTCTACACAGCCTAAAATATTTACCCTTTGGCCCTTTACAAAAAAAGCTGGCCGAGCGCTGTTCTAGAAGGGGAGATAAGCAATAACCCAGTAAACAGAGCAGTGTGACGTGTCAAGTGATGAGGGTGCTCAGAGGAGAGAGACAGCAGGATGGGAGAGAGAGTGGTGTGTCGGTGCTGATTCTGACGGCCAGTCGGGGGGAGGTGGCATTTGAGGAGTGCCCGGGAGGCCCCTTCCTGCTTCCCCCAGGGCTGTTGGAGGAACAGGTGACTGTGGGTGTGGAGAGCTGTGCCAGCCGCTCTTAATGATTTGTTTCCTCCAGTTGTTGGAGGGCAAAGAGGCTGCAGCTGCAGTGGGGCAGGGGCTGGGAGGACGGTGGGCGTGGCGGCCCTACCCTCACCCCCGTCTTTCTCTCTCAGGGCATTTTACCTGGAACGGTCTAACCTGCCCACGGACGCCAGCACCACAGCGGTGAAGATAGACCAGGTGTGCCCTCCTTCCCCTCACCTGCCGTGGAGCTTGGGCAGGGCTGGGGGTTCGTGCGGTCAGACAGGGCCCAGGGTCACACCCCAGCCAGAATCCTGGCCGAGATGCCCCAGAGGCCTCTGCCGTCCCTCCTCCAGGAAGTCTTCTGTGATAACTCCTTCCCCATTCGAGAAGTCCTGACATCTTCCCCACCTGCTTCAGAGCTCCTTAGATGATGAGTTCTCACTGGCACCCACTCACCTGTGCCTCTTGCATCTCCCTTGTTCATCGCAGCATCTCTCTGAGGCTGGAGCCTCACACCAGATGCGGCCATGCAGTGCTCTTTTTGTGTGTTTCCAATTTGTTGCCAGCATTTAAAAGTCAAAAGATTTCTCGCAAAACGGAGGCTTCTAGTTTATCTTTAGCAGTGGGAATACCTGGCTGTCTGGGCCACATTCCTGCGTGTTGCACTCGGCCTTGCGGGGGGCTGTGCGCCCCCCGCCGCATGCTGCAGGCCTTTCCCCCTCTGCCCAGGCTCTATCAGGCCTCGATTTCTTTTTTTTTTTTTAATTAATTAATTTATTTATTTGGCTGCACTGGCTCTTCGCTGCGGCACACGGGATCTTCGTTGCAGCGCTTGTTGCGGCGCGCGGGCTTCTCTCTAGTTGTGGCACGCGGGTTTTCTCTTCTCTTGTTGTGGTGCGGGCTCCAGAGCGCGTGGGCTCTGTAGTTTGCGGCACGCAGGCTCCAGTTGAGGCGTGCGAGCTCAGTAGTCGTGGCGCGCAGGCTGAGTTGCCCTGCGGTGTGTGGGATCTTAGTTCCCCAACCAGGGATCGAACCCGCGTCCCCTGCAATGGAAGGCAGATTCTTTACCCCTGGGCCACCAGGGAAGTCCCTGTCAGGTCTTGATTTTGACAGTGGTTTGGGGGCTCCTGGCCTCGGACCGCGAGGCTGGGCTCCAAGAGAAGGGCTGGGCACAGCCCTTTGGGAGTTTGTATGATAGTCTGGCCGGCAGAGTCCTGAGCCGACACAGGAAGCACTGGCCGGTGTTCTGTGTCTGCACAGGCGACGCAGGAAAGGGGAGGTGGGGCAGAGCAGAAGGGAAGACTGGTCCTGGGGAGGTGCTGCTATTTGGAGAGGACAGGAGTGGGTGTTCGCTGAGGCTTGGTCGTGGGCGCACCTGGGCAGGTGAAGAGAATTAGATGGGAGGGTTAGGCCTGAAATATATCGTGAGCATAGGAGGTGAGCCGAGAGGACAGCTGCTCTAACGGAGCTGGATTGGAGGTGATGACGGGGAGGAAGGACAGGTTGGGGCCTCCTCCGACCGTCCGGGTGTGTGTGCCTCGCAGCTGATCCGCCCCATCAATGCCCTGGACGAGCTCTGCCGCCTCATGAAGTCCTTCGTCTACCCCAAGCCCGGTGCCGCTGGGAGCTTGGGCGCCGGCCTCATCCCCATCTCCTCCGAGCTCTGCTACCGCCTGGGGGCCTGCCAGATGACCATGTGCGGCACGGGCATGCAGAGGTGTGCGAGCCCTGAGCGGGGGCGGGCCTCTGGGCGGTTTGGGGGCCCGGGATGGGAGGACGAAGGCCAGGTTTGAATCCCGATTCTGCCGCTGCCTGTTGAGCCCAGACGAGGCCGTGGCTGCCCCCGCCCCCCACCGAGCCTCAGTTTGTCTGCTGTGAAATGGGACCTCGGGAGGAGGTGGTCCTTGGAGGGCTGCTGAGCTTCCCGGTTCTCTCACCCTGGTTGGTGTGACTGAGTGTCTCTGCAGCCTGGTTCTGCTGGAGCATCCATTCAACATAAGCAGGAATGATCGTGCCTCTTGGTTGGGGCAGATCTGGACACTTTCCCACTTCTGTCCTCTGTCCCTGCTGCTCTGATTGGGGCCTTGGGGGCCATGGGGGGGAAGGCAGTCGCCCCCGTCTCACCTGCCGCCCCTGTTGCCGCCCCCCTGCAGGAGCACCCTGAGCCTCTCCCTGGAGCAGGCAGCCATCCTGGCGCGGAGCCACGGGCTGCTGCCCAAGTGCATCATGCAGGCCACGGACATCATGCGGAAGCAGGTGAGGGGACCCATCCCCCGGGGCCCCACCAGGCTGCGTGCAGGGCACCCAGATCCGAGCCCGGTGGACACAGGGAGAGGTGGACTCACAGCCCGGGTGGGATGAGGGGCCATCTGGGGACTGGGCTGTTGCCCGTCTCCCCATCTAGAGGGCTGAGGATTTCAGCTCCCATTACGCCCACCCACACCCACATGCTTCCTCAAGCGCCCTGGACTCCGTGCGGAGGCAGCCCAGGGCCTCACCGTTCTTTCTTCCCAGGGCCCCAGGGTGGAGATTCTGGCCAAAAACCTCCGAGTCAAGGACCAGATGCCCCAGGGTGCACCGCGGTGAGTGGCTGTCCCTCCCCGTCTCCTTTCCTCTCCTCCCTTCTGTGAAGGCCAGGACTTGGGCTGGGCTTCACCCCAGACAGACCCGCTGGTGTTCAGATGGGGCTTCCCCTCTCATTTACGGGACCCCATTTGGGAAACAACAAATACGACTCAGTCTGTTACCTCCCAGAGCTCCCACTTTGGCTGGGAAAGTGAGGCAGGGCCCCCACAGTGAGCCATGGGGCAGTAATTTGTGTGCCCCCCACCGGCTCACCCACCGCCCTTCTCTGCCGCCCTGCTGCCCTCAGAGCCCTCAGCCCACCTACCTCATCCTGTCCTCACGGCCCATCATCTCCACATTGATGTCAGACCTTCTCGTGGTACTGTGTGCAGCCCCTTTCCCAGGAATAACTCGTTACTGTGCGTCCTCCCTCTCCATCCACACTGCCCTGCTTTGCTGTTGACATAGGCCCACAATTTTTGTTTGTTTTTTTTTTGCGGTACACGGGCCTCTCACTGCTGTGGCCTCTCCCGTTGCGGAGCACAGGCTCTGGATGCGCAGGCTCAGTGGCCATGGCTCACGGGCCCAGCCGCTCCGCGGCACGTGGGATCCTCCCGGACCGGGGCACGAACCCACGTCCCCTGCATCGGCAGGCAGACTCCCAACCACTGTGCCACCAGGGAAGCCCCAGGCCCACAATTTTTAAATAACTTTTTAATTTTGAAATAGTTTGACTCACAGGAAGTTGCAAAAATTGTACAGGGAGTTTCCATGTGGTCCTTCACTCAGCTCCCCCCGCCAAGAATAATGTCTCATGTAACCACAGGGCATTGTCAAGACCAGGAAACGGTGTTGGAGCAATACAAGAACTCATACAGATCTTATATATGTTTCACTAGTTTTTGTATGCACTCTCTTAGCCCTCATTATTATTATTATTATTTTTATTTTTAGGCCACGTGGCATGGCTTGTGGGATCTTAGTTCCCCGGCCATGGATTGAACCCGGGCCCTCAGCAGTGGAAGTGCGGAGTCCTAACCACTGGACTGCGAGGGAATTCCCCTCATTACTTTTACTTTTTTATTTGTAATTTTTATTTTTTGGCCTCACCGTTTGGCATGCGGGATTTTAGTTCCCTGACCAAACCCGTGCCCCTTGCAGTGGAAGCATGGACTCTTAACCACTGGACTGTCAGGGAGGTCCCTCCCCTCATTACTTTTAAATACTTTTATATGTCGCTTCCCCCGCTCCAGGCACCACTCTAGTATCTTTACCTATATTAACTTATTTGCTCCAAACAACAACTCTGTGAGCAAGGTACTATTACTATCCCCCATTGATAGGTGGGGACACTGAGGCCCAGAGAGGTTAAGTATCTTGTCCAAGGTCACACAGCTAGCACACAGAACCACAGAGTTGCGCTTCTGAACCCAGGCATTCTAGGCCCAGAGGCCACACTCCTGACCACTGTGCCACCTTGCTTCCCTGTCTTGTCTGGGTCACCACAGCAGCCTCCTGTCTGGTCCCCCTGCCATCATTCTCCCCACAGCAGATCTACCGTCTCCCCTGCTTGAAACCCATTAGTGGCTCCTTCTTACTTGAGGGTAGAGCTCAGAATCCTCCCAATGCAGAAAGAAAACCAAGGTAGCTCCCCACGTGCTGCAGGGAGAGGCCCCCAAGATATATTGAGTATAAGACTCCAGTGGCAGAGTACTGGGTCTACTTTGCCACCATTAGCGTGGAAAAATGCACACCCACCCACACAAGGATCTTAACATAAACATGCGCACATATATGTGTCTGTTTTTGTAAACCCCTTGCCAGTCTGGAGGGAGCAAGGCTCCTGTGGGGCGGGGACTGTACCACTAGGGGAAAGTGGGTGGCATCAATTTTTCACTCTGCACCTTTTTTACACCTGTTGAGTTTTGTTTTCTGGGCATGGATTACACGCTCACATAGATCACATGTTGCAATAATAATAATAGGCCTTGACCTGCCTGGCTTGTCCTCATCCTCTTCACCTCCATCCACCAGGCTCTACCGCCTCTGCCAGCCGCCGGTGGACGGAGACCTCTAGACACTGAGGTGCCTGGTGCTTGGCTGCGTCCTCTGGAGCTGGGATTTGGGAGGACACAGGGGGCCGTGTGGCCTTCTCCAGAGCTGGCCCGAGACCTCCTCTCCTGCCTGCTTGAAGATCTGTCCGGCCTCCTCCATCACCTCCTGGGAGGATAAGCAGTGCCCCCACTCCTGGATGAGATGGTGGATCGGCCCTGGGCTGGCATGTTCTTCACACTTCTGCCAGAAGCCCGAGGGGTGCTGGGGACCCACAGAACTGATGGGTGCAGCCAGGGCCTGGGCTCCGGCCTGCAGGTCCCCAGAACACAGGGGAGAAGTCACGGGCACTGCAGCTGGAGGCCCGCGGCCCCAGCTCCCTCGGGATGGCTCAACCTGCACTTTGGAAACCTCTGGTTTCCTTCTACGTCCACATTCCAGGCGACCACATGTGTCTGCTCTTCTTCCTCACCTTAGCTTCCAGATTCCCCCCTAACCCTGTACTAATCTGCCCGATGGACTCGGAGAAGCCGGGCCTCTGCCGTAAAGACAGAGGGACAGGGCACAGCGCCTGTTACCAAGAGGACGGTCGAAAGCCACACCGGCTTCCGCCATCAGTGCCATTGGAACTGGAGCCATCAGCCCTGGGCACGAGATTTGCTCTGACTTTATTTATATGGCGTGAACTCTCTATGGTTTATTTTGAGGTTTTTATGTTGTCGTTGGTATCGCTGAGATTTTTTTTCCCCCAGGTTGCGTGATTATATATTTGACATTTTAAATTTCAAAGAAAGCTATATTGTCTAACAGGGGACCAGCATAAGGTAGTATTGACAACTTTTCCCAGTTCTACTAAAAAAAAAAGAAAAACTAAATTATTGAAAATTCAAAAGATGTCAGTATTTCATCTTTTTAATATTAGGGTCTTAAGATATGGCTTACAGGTATCGACTAGGGTTCCTTTTCCCACCCACCCTCGGTTCTCCAGCAGTTGGTCTGTATCAGGGTGAATTACTTTGTTCTTTGAACAACTGGCTACAAGGGTTTGAGAGGTGGCTGGGCCAGGCCTGGGGGCTGGAGGGGGTTGAACCATCCATTGGAGAGGCAGTCCCACACTGGTGTCTGTCCTCTGCAGGTAGAAGGGCTGCCAGGAAACACTGAGTGGTACCTTCTGTAATTTATTTTTTGATGTTAACTCAGAGCAGGGCATTTGGGACTTCTCAGCCAGCTAGAGAGACAGGAAGCTACCCTGCCCACCTGGGCACAAGGACCCACACAGGATCCCCCCTCTGTCCCCCCAGCAGTTTGTCCCCTCTAGGTTCTGTTGCCAGCAGGGAAATGTCACAGCTGGGACAGAAGGGAGGCGTCTTTACAGCCTTGGCTGATGGGTGAAATCAGGTGTGGGTTTCCCGCTGCCCTGGAGGCTTGAAGACCCATCAGCATCTTGGCCCCGTGCACCCCCAGGGGCCGCCTTCCCTCTCTTGCCACCCTGCACCAGATTGCAAGAGATGGGCTTGTTGCAGGACAGAGACGGCACAGATACAAACGAGGACCCCATGGCAGAAACGGAGAGGGGCCCCCGAGGGCAAGGGCATCGTGCACTGGTTTACTTTGAAATGTACAGATCTTCTCATTCAATTCATGATAGATTTTTTATTATTATTATTAAAAGTCGGTTTATAATACAAAGATCCTGATCTGTGGCGAGTTCCTTTGGGGCCAACCCTGGTGGCGTGGACGTGGCTAGGCCGGCCAGCATCACAGGCGGAGTGAGCAACAGCTTTGAAGATGGCACGGAGGACGATCGCTTCAATACCGTCAGGGCCCTTGAGGCAGCGATCCCTGCTCAGTGAGTTACCACTCTGAACCTCAGTTTCCTTCTCTAAAATGGCAGAGTATATATATTCCCTCGCAGGGGACTGGCGAGGAATACCCGAGATTGTACCGCGGCTCTGCCATTCAGGTGTGCCAGGAAAATTACCGTCTTTTTATGTATTTCACCTTTATTTTGGATTCTCAGTTCCTATTTCACTGTGATGGTGGAAAAATGTGACTGTTCTTCCAGGCATTCCCTCACCCATGCTAGGACTCTCTGTCTCACGTGTGCCTGCGGATTAGGGTGGGTCTGAGGGACGCGCCATCCTCCGCCCCAATTTGCAAGGCCCGTTTGGTCGTTTGGTCTGGAATCCGCCGGAGTGGAGTTCCAAGTACTCAACACGTGGTTGGGTTGGTTCCTGGCCAATCAGAATCCACGCTGGCCGCAAACGGACCAATCAGAGCAGACACCAGCACAGATGCTGTTCCTGCACACCGGGACCTGCGATCTCGGTCCCATGCTGAGAGCGCCTTATCACCGGCCCAAGCCCGAGCCATGTTTATGAAGCTGCCTGAGTCCATCTGCCTCATTCCCGGGCCGAATTGGCCTGCAGACCTGTTTTGCCAGGCCTGCCCCATGCCTTTCTCCGTCTCCCTCCCTCCTTTCCTCCCCACCCCTTCATCCTGACCTCTTCCCTCCTTCGTTTCTTTCCCTCCTTTCCCATGCTTTGGAAAACACTGACCTCTATGAAAGGCTTCTTTCGGGTGCCTTCCTCTTGAAGGCCCCCCACTATCATGGCCACACTTGGGGCTCCCCTAAGTCCTGCCATTTTGGAAGAGAGCCCCTTCTCTTTTAATCTCTTTTCCTTCTAAACTACCTGTCCCAGAGCTCATTCTCTCCAGGCCCAGACTGGGATCCTCCCAGAGAGAGAGAGCCTTGTGTCTTTCAATTACAGGTTTCAAAAGACTCAATACTATAATCGATGAGAGTGAATCCTGGTGGGATTTCAGGCACAGTGATGGACTGATTTTTTGAATTGTCTGAAGCCAGTGTTTGGATACAGGGAAAATCACTCTAAGGGGACAGCCATCAGCTCGATCTGTATTTGGGGGTCAAATACAGGGAGGATTTGATGCCTTCCTCCAGGCAGATACTTTTACAGGAAGCAGGAATGTCTGCCTGTTCTGCACCCTGAGGGCCTGCAATGAGAAAAGTGAGTTCTCCTGCGGTGATGGACAGGGGCAGCTTTGGTTTAGGAGCTGAGAAGTGGGGTCTCTGAGACCTTGAGCGAGTCACATTCCTTCTTAGACAACAGAGCTGCATCAGCAAACAGAGTGGAAGCCCAGGGCTGTTTCTTTCTCTGGAAGGCCTTTCTCTCAGTACAAAGTGGAGTATGAAGGGCTGCTTACAGCAGGGGGGGTGTTTTGTAAGAGACAAGAGGTCTCAAACTGGCAGCCAGTGGACTGAAACTTGGAAATTGACGTGGGTTTTGTTTTTGTTTTCCTGATACGGTGTTTTTTATAATTTTGAACTAGACACTCATACTTAAGAACCAGCAGCTTTTACTTCCAGATTCTGATTTGGGGTTTGTCTTGAAAATTCAGAAGCTCTGGTCCCAGTGGCCCTTGGGGTACCATGTGTCCTGCCTGGTCACATATCCACTGGAGCTGAGGAGTGGCCACTGCCTTTGGGCAATGTGCCAGCTTTCCATCCCCCACCTGGCCCAACACACTCCTTTACCTCACCTGCTCGGCTACAGGATGGCCCTGCCAGCGCTGGCCTCTTGACCATTCAGATCTTCACCTCTGGAGTTGCCATGGCGATGTTGGCTAAGAGAGGAGCTGGTGACCAGGAGCTGCAGTGCTGACCAATGGAGCATCGAGAGGTGGGTGAGTCCCCGCAGCTAATGAGATCGAACCCTGGTTCTCTGCTCCCTTTGAGCCTCAGAGCTGACTCGGATAATGTCCTTTGGTGTAGGTTGTGTTAGGGGCCACTCAGGAAACCAAAGGTGGGATGGAGTGTTCTGGCCACTTTGTGATTTTATCTAAATTTAACTGTTTATATATTTACCATCTTCCTCTTCCATCAGTGAAGCACCCTGAGAGAAGGAGTCACATCAGTCCTGTCTGCTGTGTCCCAGTGTCTGGCCCAGTACCAGGCATCCGTGAACCATGGCTAAATAAAAGAAAGAAGGCTCATAACTGTTAGAGCCAGGAACCCACACCCCAGCTGTGTGCGGCCAAGGCACATGCCTCCAACCACATGCTCTGCACCTGGCTTTGTTCCGGGACCGGGCTGGATTGTTGACAACTGGGAAGGCCTGGGCTGAGACCTTTGAAGTCAGATACCCTCGCCTGCCCCCTGACCTGGCAGGCTGCTGTACTTGCGGGAAGTCACCATCTCTCTTAGAGCCTCAGTTTCCTTCTCTGAGAAATGGAGACGTTCACACCCAAATTTAACTTTCAGGGGATATATGCCATGCCCTATCTTTCCAGCAGATGGCGCTAGGGACCGTGTAGTGCCCAGAGCTTGCGGTTACTTGGGTTTGAGTCTAGCCGAGTCCTGCCTACCTGACTTCCAACCCAAGCACTTGTTCCTGGGTGCCCACATTTGGGATAGAGGCAGCCTGGAGGCAGGGGCTGGGACTGTTTAGATGATGGGTACCGGCCCCTGCCCTTATGGGCTGGGCTTGGCCTAACTTGGTATGGGTATTTTATTTTTGTCTATTAAACATTTTTTAAAATTTCTCTTTCTTATTTTTATCTCTTTCCTCTCCATTTTCTTTCCTTCCTAACTTTTTAGTTTTTTTTTTCTTTGTCCTGTAACATATGTCTGTGAGCTGCTCTCTGTTTTTATATTCTCTTCCCTTGTGTGCTTTTCCTTCTCTCCCTTCTTTCTTCCCTTGCAACTGGACGTATGAGAAGGATGTGAAAGACCCTTGTAAACTGTAAAGTAAAGTGCTCATGAGGGCTGTGACCAGGAACCTGCAGTTACTAATGTCCACCCCTCCACTGCCGTGAGCCCTGACCGGCCTGGAATCGCTGACCACCAGGTGGCGCTTTGGACCAACCTCTGAGGGCAACTGCAGGGGCTTCGGTTTTAAGTCCCCAGGGTTTCGGGGCTTTGAGGGGAGGTGAATCAGAAAGCCTAGCAAAAAGCTGCCCCTCTCTGGGCACTAGTAACATCCCTGGAGGGTTGGGAGGAGGAGAGGACAGCAGGGCCCAAGTTAGAGTCCCCTGATCAGCTATGTGACCTTGAGCAGGGCCCTGTCCTTCTCTGTGCCTCAGTTCTCCCACCTATGATGAGAGGACATACAGTTCCTCAAAAAGGACTTCTGGTCTTCTAGCCAGCCTGTCCTAGACTTCTCTGAAGGACCAATAGCAATGTTCAGAATCTCACGTGTTTTCTTTTGAATTTTATTTTATTGTATTTTTTAATACAGCAGGTTCTTATTAGTTACCTATTTTATACATATTAGTGTAAATATGTCAATCCCAATCTCCCACTTCATCCCACCTCCCCCCCCCCCCCACTTTCCCCCCTTGGTGTCCCTACGTTTGTTCTCTACATCTGTGTCTCTATTTCTGCCCTGCAAACCGGTTCATCTGTACCATTTTTCTAGTTTCCACATATATGCGTTAATATGCGATATTTGTTTTTCTCTTTCTGACTGACTTCACTCTGTATGACAGTCTCTAGCTCCATCCATGTCTCTACAAATGACTCAATTCCTTTCCTTTTTATGGCTGAGTAATATTCCATTGTATATATGTACCACATCTTCTTTATCCATTCGTCTGTCGATGGGCATTGAGGTTGCTTCCATGTCCCGGCTATTGTAAATAGTGCTGCCATGAACACTGGGGTGCATGTGTCTTTTTGAATTATGGTTTTCTCTGGGTATATGCCCAGTAATGGGATTGCTGGGTCATATGGTGATTCTATTTTTAGTTTTTTAAGGAACCTCCATACTGTTCTCCATAGTGGCTGTATCAATTTACATTCCCACAAACAGTGCAAGAGGGTTCCCTTTTCTCCACACCCTCTCCAGCATTTATTGTTTATAGATTTTCTGATGATGCCCATTCTAACTGGTGGGAGGTGATACCTCATTGTAGTTTTGATTTGCATTTCTCTAATAATTAGTGATGTTGAGCAGCTTTTCATGTGCTTCTTGGCCATCTGTATGTCTTCTTTGGAGAAATGTCTATTTAGGTCTTCTGCCCATTTTTGGATTGGGTTGTTTTTTTTTTAATATTGAACTGCATGAGCTGTTTATATATTTTGGAGATTCTTTGTCCGTTGATTCATTTGCAAATATTTTCTCCCATTCTGAGGGTTGTCTTTTCGTCTTGTTTATAGTTTCCTTTGCTGTGCAAAAGCATTTAAGTTTCATTAGATCCAATTTATTTATTTTTCCTTTTATTTCCAAAAAAGATTTTGCTGTGATTTATGTCAAAGAGTGTTCTTCCTATGTTTTCCTCTAAGAGTTTTATTATTTTTGTGTGTGATGTTAGGGGGTGTTCTAATTTCATTCTTTTACATGTAGCTGTCCAGTTTTCCCAGCACCACTTATTGAAGAGACTGTCTTTTCTCCATTGTATATCCTTGCCTCCATTGTCATAGATTAGTTGACCATAGGTGCGTGGGTTTGTCTCTGGGCTTTCTATCCTGTTCCTTTGATCTATATTTCTGTTTTTGTGCCAGTACCATATTGTCTTGATTACTGTAGCTTTGTAGTATAGTCTGAAGTCAGAGAGTCTGATTAGTCTAGCTCCCTTTTTTTCCCTCAAGATTGCTTTGGCTATTCGGAGTCTTTTGTGTCTCCATACAAATTTTAAGATTTTTTGTTCTAGTTCTGTAAAAAATGCCGTTGGTAGTTTGATAGGGATTGC